AGTACCTACAGAAACAGAATGTCTCAAGGCCACTCGTGCTCACTCCGACTCCGAAATCTGCCAGTCGCTCAGCCTTGAACATTGACATTATTTCATCTGAAATCTATTTTCTTCACTTGATCAAAGTTGATCTGCGTCATACATCTTACAACGGATGTCTCGAATTATTGGTAATGTTCAGCACTTAGCATTAACATTTGCATTACAAATGATAAGTAACTTTGATTCAACGTTCCATCCAAGCTTCTTCATTGCTGGAGCTATATCACTTTCAACTTAAATTGCTTGAACTAAGACATTCTTGAATTACACTCGGGATGAGCTTAGTTTGAAAGCACACAACATAATTTTTTAATTATTTTGATAACCCACAGGATATCTAGAAGCTACACGCACTGGCTACAAAGCCCACAAGTCTTGAACATTCAAATATGAATAGGAACAGCTTTGTTTCGCACAGATTTCGCACATGGCGGGATGGCGCCATTCCGTCCAACTCATACAGCCTCAGAAATTACAACAACACACTCAACTTACGGAATATACGTCAAACAAATCTTATTTACGACGACACGAGCCAATGCTAACAACGCTTGCCAGTTGCGCTAGAGATATTGGAGTGGAGACGTCAGAGAAAAAAAGTCTTTAGATTTCTCCCATTTCCCCACGTAACGTTGAACGGCCGTTGCGGCCTTATCTGGTATGCGACGGCCTTATCTGGCATAAAAAAATCTCTAGAAGTCTCTAGCTAGTGTTAAGCCTATGGACTTATAGGGAAATGTATCCGAGTACTTGGTACTGCCTCCTCCAGGTACTGGCTGGCAGACGGATCAACTTTGGAGGCCCACCATTTGGAAATTAGGCAATTTTGAGACGAATGACTTCGGATTGGGGCCTCAGCCACCTTCTTCTACACGTTTCACTGAGTAACTCCGAAATTTCGGAAAAAAAACCCTGATAATACCTTTAAAGAGGACCATGTTACGCCCGCCGACCGGCCGGTGTCAATAAGGGCGAGAATTCGACGCTGCACGGCGGCGGCAGCGCCTTATCGGCACCGCGCGCCACGACATCTGCCGGGCGGCCGGCTGGGCGGTGGGAAGTTATAAGTGCGTGGTCTATTGCACACGATCGGGGTGAACTATCCCATGTTTTCGGGGCGGAAAGTTTCAGTGCAGCATCGATGCGTCTGCCACGGTGGTCTTTGTCGATGGCATAGAAAATAACTCAAGCAGAGCTCAGAAAAGACTGAATGATTCCGGGTAGTTGCCTCGAAACAATCCGTTTCAAGAATACAGCTGCCTTCTTAACGTACTGTATCACTTGTTAATTCTTCAAAAAAACAAGCTCTGAGCAATAACAGACTTCTTTGCATTGCTGTTGACAATTTAAGTTGCTTTTGGACGGTGGCTCGCAGCCCCAATATGCTGCCGCGTAACTCTATTCCAACGACGAAACGGCAACGTAGCGAGAATCGAAAATTTAACGAAGTAGGTACAACAGGAGCTGGCAAGGCTCCTGCATTGGTCTATCCGTCATGAGTGACTCACCGGGGTAATGTGTCACGTCAGGGCAGAGCTGTGTTCTATGCCGGGTGGATTCGGGTCTTGATCGGCATCGGTGGGCACGGCCGCCCTGGCCGGACTGCCGGCGTCGCTTATGCTCGAAGGATTGGATAAACGGCGCTTGATTTATATGAGTAGGTACTCCGGCGAATGTCTCTACTCATGTCTCACTTCGTCACACTGTCAGGGTGGCCACCCTGTCATTCCCAGACATGTTATGTTTTCTTTCGACCCGCTAATCTAAGCTACACCTGGCGTCGATTCTGTTGCCCCATCATCTGCCATCAACGTATCTGAATAATGACATTGGTGACGCCTATGCTCGTCAAGCCACCCCAAAACTTGGGCCGATGACTGTCGGGTCTCCTCCATATTCTGTCCCTGTGCATACTGCATTGCCAGCCCCTGCTGTACGTATATCGTGAATTTTCGATTCTCGCGAAGTTGCCGTTTCGCCGTTGGAATAAAGTTGCGCGGCAGCATATTAGGGGTGCGAGCCACCGTCAAAAACTAACGTAAATTGTCAACAGCAATGCAAAGAGGTGTGTTTGCTCAGAGTTTGTTTTTTGAAGAATTAACAAGTGATGCGGTACGTTAAGAAGGCAGCTGTATTCTTGAAACGGATTGTTTTGAGGCAACTACCCGGAATCATTCAGTCTTTTCTGAGCTCTGCTTGAGTTATTTTCTATACCATCGACACAGACCACCGTGGCAGACGCACCGATGCTGCACTGAAACTTTCCGCCCCGAAAACATGGGATAGCTCACCCCGATCGTGTGCAATAAGACCACGCACTTATAACTTCCTACCGCCCAGCCGGCCGCCCGGCAGATGTCGTGGCGCGCGGTGCCGATAAGGCGCTGCCGCCGGCGCGCGGCGTCGAGTTCTCGCCCTTATTGACACCGGCCGGTCGGCGGGCGTAGCATGGTCCTCTTTAAGCCGTTTGAGGAGCCCCTAACAGTTAATACTTTTCAGAAAAAAGGGCATTATTGGTCTCAGAAAAGAATACCGCACCACATGAGCCATGAGCCCATATACTTTTCCAAAATTCGGTTTTTTTGAACAACCCTACTATACATGAAGCCGAGTGGTGATGTTGTATGTTCCCTGGTATGTTTCCCTATGTACTTGTTGGAAGTTCTGTCATTGCGGCGCGCTTCCAACGTCTGAACACTCTTCCAGTAGGTACCTGTTACCAGGCTGGTGAGAATACTGCCATCTGAAGCACACATTCTCCTCCAAAGTACGTCCCTTAATTCCATAATATCCGCCTGGCGCAAACAATGGCACATTTTTTCGCCGACTGATGCCATAATATTGCCAGTTCAGAGATCAACTCGGACTCATCAGCGCGCTTGATAAACTGAAGAGCCCGCACCAAAATGAGTCCTCTCATAATCTTCGGAATTAAAAGCATCAGGCGCCATCAAGACTGGCTCAAAACAAAGCAGTCCTGACGAGCCCCGATGAATACGGTCCCGGCCAAGTTTCCCAGACGGCTCTTCGAATGCTGCACTGCGGATGGGAATATTACCCTTCATCCCCGCCAAGTTACGTCATTATCATTACGTTCGCCGGCCGGGCTGAAATATTGGACTGTTCGCATTTGCATCTGCTTCCGTCTCCATCGGGCGCCTTCGAGCTCTGCCTTAATCCCCATAGACAAAGGAAACATCCCATCTCGCGATAAATTACACTCGTATCGATTACACATTATGGCCAGGATTAAACAGATACATTAGAATATGCAAATCAAAGGGGGAACAGCTCGCCCGGTTATGCCGAGTTTTTATGATTTTTCGAATGGTTAACACTGAGATGTTTTCATTAAATGGCACATAAATTCCGGTTGGCCAGGAGACGGGCATTTGCCGATTACCCCGTGCGGATGATACATGGCGGAAGGGGTGTGCGAATCGCTCCTCTCTGCATACGATCTCTCATCAGCTTTGTTCTGTGGGTGCCGACAGCTTCCGGGTGCAGCCAGAGCTGGCAGTGTCCTGTGCTTGGGTTTGGTTTGGTTTGGGTTGGATCTCTTCAGTGCACTGGGCTGGATATGTGTGTGTTTGGGGAGGGGGTGCTGAGAGGCATTGGCTTCATCAGGGATCACCAAAATCTGTGCTGACAAATTCAGGCGGTCGGTCTACTTTTTTGTTGTTGTTGAACAGGGCCACAATGTAATTCTCCTTAGACTGCCTAAGTGTCGAGCAGCTGGAAGGAGCTGATTGGAAACCGTGAATCGAAAGAAAATATATGATTCATTTTCAGTTTTCACACAATCGTGTATGTCCATAGTATGTCCATAGTATCTATCGCCCGCAGCAAAATTCATCACGCATGTGCCAAATAAAAAGATCAGTGAATCCTGCGAGCCAGGGCTGGTCAAGCCGAAAATAACTGCAAAAAAAAACTTTTTCCGTATTTTACTACGACACCAATATTTTGATTTTTTCAGTACCTATATTTTGATTTTCGAACCGGTTACAATCAGTGACCAATGGCAAACAAATCAGCGCATGCCAGGAACAAATGAAGCAAAGAACCATCAATCCGTATACACAATCAGCTGGTAGGTATTCCAAACTGTTCAGCTATTTGCCAACTTTTACCCGAAAACAGCGGAAGCTACCAAAATCTCCGTCCCTATCATAACTTCGGAACATACTGACACGGTGCAAAACTAAACACTTCACACCTTTACGAAGCACGCTTTACAAATAATACAAACCCCCTCGGGCACCCAGTCGCCGCAGGCCCGCTGAGCCACCCGTGCCGAGCAGCGAGCCTGTTTTCCCCACTACAGCTGTCGCCTCCAAACCACCCCGGAGGCGGGCGGCAGCCGACAAAACACGCCGCTCTACACGCCGATATTTTGCATATTTAACACCTCGCGCGTATCGCGAATAATATATCAATCTTAACGGGCTGATTTTAATACGACCGACGGAAATTGGCGGCGGATTTTGGCGTGGTTTATCGGCGCGCGCCAGTAATGAAAACCGATGACGAGCTGGCGATCAACGCGCACAATTACCGCTCACGGCGCCACAAAATGAATATGACGGAACACGGGATTATTGATAAAGGCGCCGCCCGGGGCGGGAAATTGCCGGGACGGTGGCTGATGGAGGGGCGCAGGGGAGTGAAACGGTGGAGCGGTGGGGTGCGGCGGGGTGGGGTCTAACAGGGAGACAGGGCATCGAGGAGTCGGGTTAGGTTGAAATAGAGTGAAACAGAGCATACGATATACATATACGAGCACATGACCATAGATGACCATAAGTGTCCATTGTCCATATCCGTAACCTCTTTGGCCTGTTGTGTTGCATTGTGACTGGCCTTGTCGTGCAGTGTCCAACTGTGCTGTTTCGCAGGCTGCCACCAAGTATTGTATTGAACTGTATTGTGACCATGTGCGGTGTGCTCTGTTTCAGCTCTCACCAGGTGGCGGAGCGGTTCTTCCTGTGCACCAAGCACGTGCAGGTGACCAAGGTTCGCTGGCACCCCGAGTCAGCCGGCGACTGTCACCTGGTGGTGCTCTGCTCAGACAACTACCTCAGGTCAGTGGTGTTATATAACTACCTCAGGTCAGTGAGGTCATACTCAGACAACTACCTCAGGTCAGTGAGGTTATATAGCTACCTCTAGTCAGTGGTGCTCTGCTGAGACAACTACCTCAGGTCAGTGGTGCTCTGCTCAGACGACTACCTCAGGTCAGTGAGGTTGTATACCTACCTCAGGTCAGTGGTGTCACACAACTACCTCAGGTCAGTGGTGCTCTGCTGAGACAACTACCTCAGGTCAGTGAGGTTATACGAGTACTTCATATACTTTATAGCTATAGCTCGTATACTTTATAGCTACCTGAGGTCAGTGGTGTTCTGCTCAGACAACTACCTCAGGTCAGTAGTGTCATACTCAGACAACTACCTCAGGTCAGTGAGGTTATATACTCACCCCTGGTCAGTGGTGTCATACTCAGACAACTACCTCAGGTGAGTGGTGTCAGACAACTACCTCAGGTCAGTAGTGTCACACAACTACCTCAGGTCAGTGAGGTCATACAACTACCTCAGGTCAGTGGTATTCTGCTCAGACAACTACATCAGGTCAGTAGTGTCACACAACTACCTCAGGTCAGTGGTGTCATACTCACACAACTACCTCAGGTCAGTGGTGCTCTGCTCAGACAACTACCTCAGGTCAGTGGTGTTCTGCTCAGACAACTACCTCAGGTCAGTGGTGTTCTGCTCAGACAACTACCTCAGGTCAGTGGTGTTCTGCTCAGACAACTACCTCAGGTCAGTGGTGTCATACTCACACAACTACCTCAGGTCAGTGGTGTCACATGACACAACTACCTCAGGTCAGTGGCGTCATACTCACACAACTACCTCAGGTCAGTGGTGTCATACTCAGACAACTACCTCAGGTCAGTGGCGTCATACTCACACAACTACCTCAGGTCAGTGGTATTCTGCTCAGACAACTACATCAGGTCAGTAGTGTCACACAACTACCTCAGGTCAGTGTGTCATACTCACACAACTACCTCAGGTCAGTGGCGTCATACTCACACAACTACCTCAGGTCAGTGGTGTTCTGCTCAGACATGGCTACCTCAGGTCAGTGGTGTTCTGCTCAGACAACTACCTCAGGTCAGTGGTGTCATACTCACACAACTACCTCAGGTCAGTGGTGTCATACTCAGACAACTACCTCAGGTCAGTGGTGTCATACTCAGACAACTACCTCAGGTCAGTGGTGTCACACAACTACATCAGGTCAGTGTGTCACACAACTACCTCAGGTCAGTGGTGTTCTGCTCAGACAACTACCTCAGGTCAGTGGTGTCATACTCACACAACTACCTCAGGTCAGTGGCGTCATACTCACACAACTACCTCAGGTCAGTGGTGTTCTGCTCAGACATGGCTACCTCAGGTCAGTGGTGTCATACTCACACAACTACCTCAGGTCAGTGGTGTCATACTCACACAACTACCTCAGGTCAGTGGTGTCATACTCAGACAACTACCTCAGGTCAGTGGTGTCACACAACTACATCAGGTCAGTGTGTCACACAACTACCTCAGGTCAGTGTGTCACACAACTACCTCAGGTCAGTGGTGTCATACTCAGACAACTATCTCAGGTCAGTGGTGTCACACAACTACCTCGGGTCAGTGAGGTTATGGAGTTACCTCAGGTCAGTGGTGTCATACTCAGACAACTACCTCAGGTCAGTGGTGCTCTGCTCAGACAACTACCTCAGGTCAGTCGTGTTCAGTTCAGACACCTACCTCAGGTCAGTGGTGTCATGCTCAGACAAGTACCTCAGGTCAGTGAGGTCATACTCAGACAACTACCTCAGGTCAATGAGGTTATATAGCTACCTCAGGTCAGTGGTGTCACACAACTACCTCAGGTCAGTGGTGTCATACTCAGACAACTACCTCAGGTCAGTGGTGTCATACTCAGACAACTACCTCAGGTCAGTGGTGTCATACTCAGACAACTGCCTCAGGTCATTGGTGTCACACAACTACCTCAGGTCAGTTGTGTCACACAACTACCTCAGGTCAGTGGTGTCATACTCAGACAACTACCTCAGGTCACTGGTGTCATACTCACACAACTACCTCAGGTCAGTGGCGTCATACTCAGACAACTTCCTCAGGTCAGTGGTGTCATACTCACACAACTACCTCAGGTCAGTGGCGTCATACTCAGACAACTTCCTCAGGTCAGTGCACAGTGGGGATTTTTCCGATCTAGCGCCTATTAATTCAAAAAAATATTTTTGGGATTTTGTTTTTTTTTTGCGTCAGTAGGGCTAAAAAATGTCTGAATTTTTCATATATGGCATTGTTTTATCTGTATGTCCACAGCAAAACTAGGAAAAATGCGCCCAAAGTTCACACTCATGCGTGATTACTCAATGGGCTCAGCAAGGCCCGAAAGTATAGCTCAATTTCATTGTCCTGTCCTGTTGGTTTTAATCTTGCGAGGTCTTAAAGTTGCATATCGTCTGAAAGGCACCTTTATTAGGAATGGAATGGCAAACAGAAAGTATGCCACAACCTTACTAAGGTCACAAAAATGCCCTTTACAAAAACCCTTACAGACACCATATGGAAGGAATGGTATTCTAAATAAATGTAGGAAATCAACAATGTTCTCCACACTTTTCCACTCCGAAATATATCCTATCGAATTTGCCACTTTCTTCTGCACAAGACAACGCCTAGTTTGGCTGCCGAAACTTGCCTGAACACGGAATATTCACATTAGAGTATCTTAGCACCCCACTCGAGGAGCGCTAGGGCAAACAACACGATATAGGTATGTTCCGGACATAGGCGAATAATTTTACTTCGTGATTTATATGATGCATATTTTCTGAGACACATTCATTAGGAATAGGATGACAAGCGTAAATTATACATACCGTAACCTTATTAACCATCGCACTTGTGGGGAGGGGGAGGGGGAAGGGGTCGGATAAAACCCCATGGTTTTCCGCAAATTACTCGCGCAAAAAGCGGCCGATCGCGCCGAACTTTCGGTACCCTCGAGATCATCAATTTTACATCTAACCTAAAAATTTCATGACTCTGACCCAACTGACCTTTGACCTGTGGCATATTTCTCGAGACCATGTTTGGCCGGAATCGCGATTCGGCGTATGCCAGCTCACATTATCCGCGGTTTCCAGTATTTTGTGGTTTTAAACGCTCAAATATGTGAAATGATGTTGGTGCCATGCATAATGGTGGGTGTCAAGGTCACGTGAAGGTCAAGTCAAGGTCATTGACCTTTTGATGACCTTGGTTCACTTTTTCGAGTTTTACTTGTTTCTAGGGTAGTTTTTGGTGCTGATTTCGATTTTAGCAGCCATTTGAATATTTACGAAGTAGTTCTAGTGCCTTCGTTCCATGTTACGAAGCTATCAGTAGTAGGTGACACTTCTATGGATGGCCGGCAGGACGCCTACTAATTGATCTAACCTGACCTGACCCGACCTGGCCTAAATGCATAAAGACATCGTCTGTGATCAAAACTAACACGAAATTCGTGATCAGCACCCCAAAATACCCCGTAACACCCTAACTTTGCGAAGTTTCAAGAGGTCTCGATTTCCCAACTTTAGTTGGGTCATTAAACTGACTTGGAAAGTCAGCTTATGACCTTGGACTTTGAAATTGGATATATTCGGCCTAATTTCGTCATAGGCAGCACGCTTGACTTTTCCGCGAAGCTCTAGCTTGATCAGGGGCCAAACGGCTGAGCGGGGGGTCCAATTGAACCCCCTATACTATGTTGATTATGCACATTTACAGGTAAAATTCTCACCAGGACACACCAGCCAACATCTGTGCACAATCTGGCTACAATTCTACCTATGGTTTGCCCTCTACGAATAAATACGTGCTAGATCGGAAAAATCCCCACTGTGCAGTGGTGTCAGACATGGCTACCTCAGGTCAGTGGTGCCATACTCAGACAACTCCCCCAGGTCAGTGGTGTCACATGACACAACTACCTCAGGTCAGTGGTGTCATACTCAGACAACTACCTCAGGTCAGTGGCGTCATACTCACACAACTACCTCAGGTCAGTGGTATTCTGCTCAGACAACTACATCAGGTCAGTAGTGTCACACAACTACCTCAGGTCAGTGGTGTCATACTCACACAACTACCTCAGGTCAGTGGCGTCATACTCACACAACTACCTCAGGTCAGTGGTGTTCTGCTCAGACATGGCTACCTCAGGTCAGTGGCGTCATACTCAGACAACTACCTCAGGTCAGTGGTGTTCTGCTCAGACAACTACCTCAGCTCAGTGGTGTCAGACAACTACCTCAGGTCAGTGGTGTCACGCAACTACCTCAGGTCAGTGAGGTTATATAGCTACCTCAGGTCAGTGGTGTCACACAACGTCCAGTGGTGTCACAACTGTCCAGTGTTGTCCACTTAATAGGGTGTTCCATGTTCTTCCTTTTGAAATAGGTACTTTATCTCGAGCAGGGTGTATGCAGATGGGCCATATGTGCAGACGAAACTACTCTAACTCACTTGTTTGTGATATGTTGTGCTCGTTTGATCCGATGACTTATAAGCTATGTGTTATCTTACTTAAGTAATGACAAACCCCCTACGCTTCCCTACCATTCCCTGTACAGTGTATAATGCCCTGTCCCATCGCGTCCTTCCTTGCCCGAGTGCCCTGCCCTGCCTGCCGTTCCTTGTCTCTGCTGTTCTCTCCTGCTCTGCCCTGCCTTGACGTGCCTGCCCTTCCTTGCCCCTACTGTCTTGTCTTGACCTGTCTTGCGCTGTCCTGTCTTTTCCTGTCTGTTCTTCCCTTTCCTGTGCTGTCCTACCTGCTCTGTCTTGCTTTCCCCTCCCCTGACCTCTTTGACCTCTGACCCCTCTCTCTTCAGCGCGGCTTGCATGACGGACATGGAGGCCCCTTTCCATGAGGTCAGTGCTCCCTTCACTGGAGAGGACCAAGTGCCTCCAAAACGCGGACTCTCCCACAGCAAGCCCCTGCAGCACCTCTGACTCTCCCTCTGCTCGTCCGGCAGGGTGTACGACGTGTCTTCGGACCTGCAGACTCCCAGTCAGGCGCTGCCTCTGGGCGCCACACACTCGGCCTCTCTTGGAGGACGGCCCGGCTCGTCCTTCGTTCGCTCGCTGGGAGAGGTGGCGGTGTCGTTTGCCTTTGGAAACCGTCCACCGCCGCCACCGCCGCCGGCTGATGGGCAGGTCAGAGACATCTACTGGGAGCGGGCGAACTTGTGATTGGTGTAACTGGCGGTAGAGCTCGTCCTGGGGGTTTGGTGTGACTGCCTGACTGGCATGGTGTGATATGGATGAGTTATTGTTTGTGTAGGTTTTGGTAGATGGCTGATTTTGGTTGTGTTTACAGGATCAGCAGAAAGAGGATTTGCGGGAGCCACTTCCAGTGTACATACTGCGAGGCAACGGAGACATATACATCACCTGCATCAACTTGGCAGCTTCCAGGTAGGGTGCTTCATTGGAGCAACAAGCTGCGCGTCTCAGTCACTTGCTGCACTGACACTGCACATACACTGACATTGATTCCATTCATTCTGACTTTGATATGAGATGATGTGATGTTGATTTCACTCCTTGATTTGATCATCACCAATAAGTGCCTGCATTTTGTGGGTTTATGAACATGCGGGAACGACCTTAGGTATCCTTGCTGCCGTGGCCAATTTTCTATTTATTATTATTTTATTATTATTGTTTGATTCTCTTCTGCCCTAGTCAAACCCGGTCGGGTTGTCCCGCCCTCAGGGATGATATCAGTCACGGTGTCCTATTACATAGGACTCGTGCATTACCACGCCCTATAAGGTCCCACCTCTATTCTCGGGGATCGTTTCCAGCAGTGTCCTATGCTACCTACCTACCATACCATACCATTTTGCAGTGCACCATGTTACCACATCCGCCGTCCTCAGGTAGCGTTTCCAGAAGTGTCCTATGTTACTATACCGCCCCTCCCCTCCCTCCGTCCTCAAAGAGCGTTTCCAGCAGTGTTACCATACCCTCCCCGCCGTTCTCAGGGAGCGTTTTCCAGCAGTGTTACCATACCCCTCCGTCGTCCTCAGGGAGCGTTTCCAGCAGAGTTACCAAACCCTCCCGACGTTCTCAGGGAGCGTTTCCAGCAGTGTTACCATACCCCTCCGCCGCCCCAGGGAGCGTTTCCAGCAGTGTTACCATACCCCCTCCGCGCCGTTCTCAGGGAGCGTTTCCAGGTGCTGGGTCCGGTGGCGATGCACCCGGCGGCAGAGGACAACTACGGTACGGACGCCTGTGACCTACTCTGTGTCGGAGGCGGGTCGCCGGCCGTGCTCGTCGTGGCCACGCCAACCCGCCTCTACCACTGCGTCGTACTCGACAGACCCGCCGACGAGGCCGACGATGGCGTGAGTGACGAAGCGATAGGGGTGGGGAGATGTAGGGATGCATGCTTTTAACTGATCTTTCTTGATCTAAGAAACAGCAGGCTTCTTCTTGATGGAATTTCACCTATCTACATATGTTCATTGTGCCGTGAGCTGCCAGCTGCCTCTTAACCCATTTGTCTTTTTACTATTTTTGCTGTATGAATTCGGGCTTCCCCTTTTTGGTTTCGTTCTGTTTCCCTTATATTACAAAGATGGGTGTAGCGCATTTTACAAGTAACTCGCATGAGAAAAAATCGTTAAGAGACGATCGGGCATAAAAAGATAAAATGTGAAAAGTTGGCTGATGCTGTAAACCAGTGTTGCTTATGAGAGACATCCATATCCCGGCAGGCGGTGGGCCTACCAGCCACCTTCCGCGCGGTGGGGGGGGGGGGCACTTTTTTGCCCCCCCCCCCCGTATCTCCGAAACTACTGGACGGATCCGGAAAATTCAAACGGCGTTCGATAGCCCTGTCAAAATTGTGGAGGGAAACCAAATTTCATTGACCTCGGGGTCACCGATGACGTCACAGGTCAGGTCAAAGATAAAATGTTTCACCGTTCACGGGGCTTCGAGGGAAAGCGCTATAACACCGAGTAAAACGCATTTTGTCGAAAATCAGCGATAAGGCGTCAGTTGTCTAGTACATATGTTGCTATTAGAGGTCACTGGTCATACCAGGTCAAGTCACAGGTCAGGTCACCAAAGGTCACCAAGGGTCACCACATGAGCCCAACTTTACTAAGGTTATGCGATGCATGTTTTATGGCCAGTTTTTCATTTCCAACTCAATGGTGTTGGTTATAAGACCATCAGGTACGGTTTAGGTCACTTTCTGGTGGCGGTTAGGTCAAGGTTAGGTCAAAAAAGGTCAAATTTCAAAGTTGATATTTTTGCATAAAATGGGTATCGATTCGATGCAGCTCGTCACGGGGAGTCTAATGGTGGTCTTTGTTTTGCGCTACGAGGTCTAAAATCGCTAAAAATTGAGTTTGAAAATTTGACGTCATCAATTTTGAACAGTTTTTTTCGCTATAACTTGGCCAAAAAAAAAAAAGAGGTATCGATCTCAAATTTGGTATGTAGATAGAAGGCGGTAGGGGCTATCACATATATTCCGGTTTTTTCGATATTCAAAAAACTTTTTTGGTTTTTTGGCTATTATATTCAAAAATCTATTTTTTATTTTTGGGGGTCAAAATCCAAAAAATTTGAAAAACCGAAATAGCAGTTTTGTAGCCCTCTTAATTCCACACCTTTTATGTCTGAAACATTTTTCTGTATCTCTAAAGCTGTAGGCCTGACAGCTCTTCCCGCGAAACCTTTTTTTGGGTCGAAAATGGCAAAAATGACGGCACTCTGACGTCATTAGCGGCCAACCTATCATAGCCTTTGGAAAAATTTTTGGTCACCATGTGCGCTAGCTGCTACCGGGAGGGTACTGAAAGTTTGGTGACGATCGGCGCAGCGGTTCTCGAAATATATCGAAAAAACTAAGGGGGGCAAATAAATGCCCCCCCCCCACCGCCTGGAAGGATATGTACCTTACCCCTGTCCCCTCCTCACGGATAGGGTACGAGTCTTCTCGGGAGCTAACCATCCCTCCTTGCCCCCAGGTGGCCTCTGAAGCCTCCTGGTCGCGGTACAGCTCGTGTTTGTCGCTCGAGCCGGCCGCCATATCGCTGTACGTCTACGAGAGCGTCGAGCCCGACATGGTGCTGGCGCCGGCTGACGATGACGACGCGATGACGTCACCGATCCGTCTGCACCGCGACCCGGCCTCCGACTGCAGGTCAGTGGCTGTGTGACCTGACCTAACCTGACAGCGACCCGGCCTCCGACTGCAGGTCAGTGACTGTGTGACCTGACCTAACCTGACAGCGACCCGGCCTCCGACTGCAGGTCAGTGGGTGTGTGACCTGACCTGACCTGACCTGACCTCCGACTGCAGGTCAGTGGGTGTGTGACCTAACCTGACCCGGCCTCCAACTGCAGGCATGTGATACCGATACTGAGACTGAGCCGGCCTCCAACTGCAGGCTAGTGATCTGTGACCTGACTTGACCCGGTCTCTGACTACAGGTCAGTGGGTGTGACCTGGCCTGACCCGGCCTCCGACTGCAGGTCAGTGAGTTTGACTTGGCCTGACCTGACACTGACTGGCTGGAACTTTGACTGCAGGTTAGATACACTGACTGACAATGATACTGACACTGTCACACTACCTATGATACTGAGCCGGCATCCAATCGCAGGTCAAGGATGATGACACTGACCACGTTTCCATGTGTTTCCATCACCAAATTTAAATTGTTAAACCTTCCTGGAGCTCTTCGTCACAGGCGAAAAGCCAAAGCGGATTAGCTTTAGGTGTGTAGTCACTTACTCCCTTATTTCGATTTTCATTTAGCATCTAAGTGTGCTGGATTAGCTAATCCACTTTTAATTATCCGGATCATGGGTGCCCATGGAAACCGGGTCACTGATTTTGGCACTGGCCTCCACCGGCCTTTGAATGAGGCTAATGACAACGATCCCGAAGCTGTACCTCACCTGACCGGTGACCCCCTGGCCAGGCCTCCAAAACTGACCAGTGGCTATGACACTGACGCGACAGTGACTCAGCGGTCTAGTACATGTCAGTTGACACTGATCTGAGTCTGACAGGGAGTCGGACTGAGTGTTTTACCAGACTTTTGGCTTGGGTTCTGGCTAGATGTCTGACGGGGTTACCGTACCGGCAGGTATTTCTGCAGCCACGCGGCCGGAGTCCATGCTGTCGCCATGCCGCTGATCGCTGCCTTGGAGAGGTTTGCCTCGCAGCCCGGTAAGTCAACTTTCCTTCACCGATCCTCTACAGTAGCCTTCAATACCGATACCAGTTCAATACCAGTACCAGGCTTAAGGTTACCAATAAATATCGCAGTCCGCAGGATACGTGTACGGTGCTGATTGATCTTGGATCATAGACCTCTGTATACCGAGTTATACAGAGGTCTATGCTTGGGTGCATGCACTTAACAAACCCCATTTGACGTCTGTTTTCCGTCCATTGTCGACAGAGACCAGTGACGAGCCACTGGGCGAGCACCCGTGTATCGTGGAGCACCTGGTGTCCACCCGACCCGTGAGCTCCGCCCCGGCCTGCCCCGTGATCGGCCTGTCGGTCATACCCCACCCGCTGCTGATGGTGGTTCTACTGGCCACTCACGAGGTGAGAGGGAGGGAAAGAGAGAGAGGGGGAGGGAGAGAGAGGGGGGTTATACCCCACCCGCTGCTGATGGTGGTTTTACTGGCCACTCACGAGGTGAGAGGGAGAGAGGAAGAGAGAGAGAGGGAGAGGGGGGTCATACCTCACCCTCTGCTGATGGTGGTTTTACTGGCCACACACGAGGTGAGAAGGAGGGAGGGAGAGAGAGAGAGAGAGAGAGAGAGAGAGAGAGAGAGAGAGAGAGAGAGAGAGAGGGAGAGGGGGGTCATACCTCACCCTCTGCTGATGGTGGTTTTACTGGCCACACACGAGGTGAGAAGGAGGGAGGGAGAGAGAGAGAGAGAGAGAAGAGAAGAGGGAGGTAGAGAGGTACGTGATGCCTCACCCTCTGGTCTCGATACTGATGGTGGTTCTTCTGGCCACACACGAGGTGAGAGGGGGGGGATAGAGAGAGAGAGAGAGAGAGAGAGAGAGAGAGAGAGAGAGAGAGAGAGAGAGAGAGAGAGAGAGAGAGAGAGAGAGAGAGAGGAGGGAGGGAGGGAAGGAGGTGATACCTCACCCTCTGCTGATGGTGGTTTTACTGGCCACACACGAGGTGAGAAGGAGGGAGGAAGAGAGAGAGAGAGGGGGTCATACCCCACCCTAATAACTGCGTTATTTCGTGTAGTTATGTGTGAGATGTGAGACTGGCGCATGTGTCATCTTTAACAAAGCGCGGTCTTATCCGCATTCTTGTTTGTTTCGTAACGGCTAGTGAGTTTTTCTGTTCGATCGCCTGTTGACTCAGTCATGTCGTTTCCGGGACCTGTGTTATATCGTCGATAGTTGGACTGAGAGATGTCCAATATCCTTGTCCGGAACAGGGAGTGCCAGTTCCTTGTAAACCCTCCATGTCTCTGGTAAACCCTCCATGCCAGCCTCTGACGCTGCGCGCCGCGGGAGACTTCAAAGCTCGGTACACTTAGCACGATATGTGATAAACAGCCGCCTACGCCCGCTAAAACCTTGCTCCGGTCCCGTGGGAAAATCGCCACCGATTCTGGGCTATCTAGATATCATGGAGGGAGGAGGGGACATCAGGACCCCCGCCCACACGTCTCCGCCGACCGACCGCCGAGCTGGCCGAGCGCGCCGCTTTAGTTCGCGTGTCTGCCGCCAGGTGCTGCTGCTGCCGCTGGTGGCCAAGTTCAGGCCGCCGGCGCCGACCCTGGCTGAGGAGGATGAGAGCGCCGGCTCCGTGGGACCGGCCCAGGTGGGTCATGGGGAGCGGTACTGCGCCACATACTGAGACGCTGGGAGGCGGAACACCGGTGGACCGTCTCCCCCCCCCCCCCCCCCCCCCCCCCCCGCCTCCGCCCTGCCCTGACACCGACACCGCCCACGGTGGTTCAGGAACATTCTGGACGGGAGGTCGACGCGACGATATTCGGACAGACTCTACTTCCATTTGTGTATTAAACATTTTCGCTCAGATGTTTACGATTTATACACATGAATTACTCTGTCGGATCGTATTTATGTTGCGTCTAGTGACTAATATGGTTAACTAGAAGCTTATATTCGTCCCTATGTTCCGCCTGTTCGACCGCCCAGCTCCACCCCGCCGCGCCTCTGACTTTCTCCACCAACTCTCTCCGTCTTTCCGCGGTCAGGAGAGCGAGTCTTTCTCGGCTCACATCCGCCGCCTCCTGGAGCGCGGAGACAGCGTGCCGGTCCTGCGCGCCGCCGCCGAGCCGGCCTCCAGCGCCGAGCGACTGGAGCTGGCCTCTCGCGCCGCGCACCGGCTGCGCACAGAGTACATACAGCGCCAGCAGCTGGCGCGCGCAGCTCTCCAGCAGCAGACGGACGCGCTGCGCCGGCTGCAGCAGCAGCAGCTGTCCGAGGCGCATCAGCTGGAGCAGCAGCAGCAGCGGCTGCACAGCCGGGCGCTGGAGATCGTGGACCGGTGGCGGCAGCTGGAGGAGAGCCACAGGACTCTGCTGGACCGGTGAGTAAGAGGGGAGAGCCTGGAGCAGGAATAGAGATACAGGATCCTGATGGGCTGCTGAGGGATGCTTGGGGTAGCGCCGAACGGTATAGAGGTGCAGCTTTCTGCTAGATTTGAAGCATCTCGTTAACTTGGATGTTCAACTTAATCTAAGTGCGTTTTCAGCAACTGTTTTCAACGCAATCAGTGTTTTATGTAACAACGCAAGCTACCTCTGGTTTTCGTAATCACGGCTGTATGATACGATGCGATGTTCCACGTCCCCGACGCTGCGCTCCGGACCATCCATGATGCGCCTAAATCAAAACTCCCTGTGCTCCCGCAGTGCGGAGACGGTGTTCCGCCGGTGCCAGCAGGGTGTTCCCGTACTCTCGGACGCCGAGAGGGCCGTCTCGCGCGAGCTGAAAGAGCTCGGCGACATGTCGGAGCTACAGGCGCGGCTGGACGCCCTCCAGGCCAAGTTCGACTATCAGAAGAGACAGGTGCGGTAGAGGGCATGTTAGCGTTTGTGACGATAGCTTGGATGTGCAATTTTAAAACGTACTCAAACGTACTTTAAACGTAATCAAATGGGGTCACGCATGCCCATAATGCTGCCGTTTACATCCGTGTGGTTTTCAATAGTATGTCCCTAGCCTAGCAGCTGCTTACCATGATAATGCATCAAATTTAGTTGTTTAGTTTAGTTGCACTAATGTTTCTTGACTAGGAAGGAGTTATGCTCCTCGAAGCCTCTGTTTTCATTTCTCTCTTCATCTCTTAATCAACACCACATCGACTTTAACTCGCTATAACACCCCTCTCCGCCCACAGGTGTCCCTCCAGCAGGTCAACGAGCAGCGGCAGGACCAGCAGCTGGCGGCGCTGTCTTCCGCTCAGCGTACTCTGCTCAAAACCGAGCTGGCCGCTCAGGGTGATCAGATCGCCGCACTGGTCCAGACCGTGCTGGCCGCCCGAAAAACGCTCGGGGTTTGATCGGATGGCACGGGGATGGAAGAAGAAAGGGACGGTGAGACAGTGGGTGTGTTGGCCGTTCAGAGGATCGTCTGGTACCTCAAGCGGCTTTTTCAGAGCGGAGGCTATCTGTTAGCCCAAGCAGCTTTTCTTGAAGAGAGCGAAGGCTAGCTGTTATCTCTAACGGCTTTCTGAGGGGGAGAATAGGTTCGATCGTGGCCGAAAGGTGCTGGACCCGAGAAGGGTGACCAATCGCCGGCCTTGACCGGTTGACCGCTGGTGGCGGAAGGTGAGCTATGTACGCATCATTCACGCCCGCATCCCATCATATCGTGGTTTCTCGTGGCACCAGGACTGGACGTTGACGAATTTCTGGGACGAGTCTGAACAGACGTGGAGGTGAAACCGATGTGATGGTGTGGGTCGCTCATTGTCATAAACATTGCCATTTTGGAGCTGTTTGTTACAAATACATAGTCCTGCAGAGGATAACGTATGATGGCTCTGAATGGCCGAGTATGGCAAAAATAAGGAGTTAGTGGGACTGCATCTCGCGTACAATGTGGTTAAGGTTTGAGAAAAGGTTGCATTTTTTCCTGTCATAAAGTCGTTCGATTCAATGAATGGCATTATTATGTAACAAAAGTAGGTTTAATGGTTGTCTGCCAAAACGTTACCGTCATAACGCGTGTCTATTGCCAGTCCACCATCTATTTCTCCATGCGATGTTATTACATAGCTGAGCGTCATCACCAGGCGTTCATAGTCGACTCTTCTCTTCTTCGGCGCTGATCTTGTCCAGCGGAATGGGGAAGAGTTCCAAGGGCTCTCTGGGAAAGAAATATGTTACATAAATCACACTAATCCCAACATATTACTTGTGCCGAGTGCACATTACACGTACCAGCCTGCCGAAGTTCAAAGTCCCGAAATGGTAAAGGTCACTGGTAATGTGATACAGTGGTCTGTACGGCCAAACCTCCTGTATCCAAACAAACTCACTACTCAGGATGTTGAAAGACGTGGGATGATGTGCGCTTTCCAGATGTTATGGCTGGCTGGGTTGCTGGGTACCCCCTGGGCTGTGCAAATGGATGGCCTGACCTTTACAAGGAGTACATAGTTGATGCAACTCAAACGCCACAGCCGGGGTTTTGTTATGTCTATGAGTTTACGGAGACTATAAAGGGTGCAGCCATTAGCCGTGTCAGTTCAGAAACGTGGCCGATTTCAGGACTAAGCCAACGTTTGCGGAACCTCATGCGGCTGAATATTTTAAATCATGTCATAATTTGCCGGACACGACGTTTTCAGACGACCCCACGGGTTCCACAACTGTCCCACCAAATCCCGGCTCTCCGCCCTGACGCACTTACCGTCCGGCCGGGGGATGAACGGACACGTCTGCACAGCCGTAGAACTCCTCCTGGGGGCCGCAGCCCATGCCGTCTGTGCCGTTGTCGCAGTGGCCCCACGAGTTGCCGCAGTGGTAGCGCCACTGTGTACAACGAAAAAGGGCGGGGGTGAAGATAATTACGTCGTATACAGCGGCGAGTAGGGATATTTACTTTGATTTTGGTAGAAGCCTGTTAGATCGAGCTTAGAAAACGCTGGTGTCAAATGGAGAATCCAGGGGCCTAAAGAAGTTAGAAATTAATAAGCCACCCGCGATATCTTCAGATACGTTACTTCACACTTGGGGTGACCAACTGATGCAAAACTGATGAAGCATTTAGTCTCAGATTAACACATTCCCATGATTAATTGCGAGAGGACAGTACCTGGAAGACGCAGTGCTCGCACTCGAGGTCGGTCGGCAGCTGTACGTCCACATAAAACGGCTTCGTCTCGTCGGTGACGTAGTAGTCGGTGGAGCCGGTGCCGGCAATCTCCAGGATACCCCTGAGGGCCACACGGAGGGGCGAAGCGGTAGAATGGTAGATCTAGATATAATAAAATAAAATAGAAGAAGGTATCATGCTCGAATGGTTGATAGGATGTTAGAACGGGGCATGAGCACTGAATGTTCTATGTCCACTGAGCGCAAGCGATGGCCTCGCCGCCGAAACGCCCCTCAACCCCAACAAAATAGACTCTGGAGCGTCCAGCTGAGAGCTCAGGTGAAGTTCAGCCGCATTATGAGGGCGTGAGGGGTTGCTATTAAGGGTTCCAAAGAGGGAAACATATGCTAATAGGAAGCCATAACGGTCTTCCCTCCTGCTGATTGGATGGCTTACATTCAGCAGACTGCGCCACTGCCACCAAGAATGAGAATTCAGATTAAACGTTCATTGTTAACACATATTGGTTGCGCCCCTAATCCGCAAAAAAAGACGTAGAATGATGAATCATTTGCTATGGTAATTACTCATCCAAGCAATCCTGAGTGGCCTCGGTTTCGAAGCCCTCGACGGGGCAGATCTTGAACTGGAAGAAGCCCAGGTGGTTGGCCGTGAGGTTGACGGTTACCGTCACCACCTGTGGTGACAGACAAAGGTTAGATGTGACAGACAATTGTCAGATGTTGACGGCCACCCTCACTACCCGTAGTGACAGACGCAATTTTAGATGCTGACGGACATAGTCACCTCCACTGGCCGAATACGTAAGGTCGTTGGTGGACATTTCATACGTTAAAGTGAGGCCTTACATAAAAATACCGTTTCAAGCCAATATTTTGTCTAAGCTTTGCAACAGATACAACCTAGTCGTTTGCCAAAACGGATGTCTGCTACTTATTACTTACTTATCTACTTATTACTTCATTATTACGTTCTTATCATATATTATATCGTATGCATTACGAAGATCGTATTTACCTCTCCGGAGGTATAGTTTTGCACCAAGTAGCCCTTGTAGTAGGGCCCTCCGATCTCGTGAGTGCGCGGCTGAGGCTCGTCATACGGGTCGCCGCAGATACCGCACTTTCCGCCCATGTCCTCTTCGTGCTGTCCCGTGAAGAGCCGGCAGCAGAGGATTACTGTTAGACCGGGGGACAGGTTCACACTTTACGTGCATTTTCATTTTTAGATTATCAATAGCAGCAATTCAGTATCGAGGCATAACAAGCTTCGATTAAAACATTTGGCTGAGTAATAAGCTACCGAGCTTTCGGTATTGGGACTTGGACCTGTATGGAAATGATAAATTGTCACAGCTAGCTAGACTCCAGGCTGCGGGCCGGTCTTTGGCTGTCGACTCACGTCCTTGCCGCCGCAGAAGAGCTGGTTGTCTGTGTAGTCGGGCAGCGTGTCGTAACCGAACCTCCACATGGAGGCGCGACACGGCGGGTCCTGGAGGCGGCCGTGACCGCTAACGGCCACCAGCTGACCGGGTGAACACAGAGAGACGATCGTGAAACCTCAATACCGGGAGAGGCGTGAAACACAGGCACTGGGATAGACGTGAGACGGAGTGGCAGATACAAACAGGCACTAGAAACTTTGACAAACGTCTTCACTATTAACAAACCCAGGGGAGACACGAACAAACAAGGTCGCGAAAATCCGTTAAGAAAAGTTTCCGTGACGTTCTATCTTGTTGCAGTAAAGTCACTTGCATCGATAACGTATTTGTTCTAAAATATTCAGCACGGAGTGACCACTCACCAGACTCGCTATGCACCACACTCCCGTAAAGGTGACCGATCCCATCTGAAAGAGATCGGACTGAAGTCTCAGTGTCATACGGCGGAAACAAAGAGTCAAGAGAGGACTGCTTAGGGAGGCCGTCAGGTCAACCTCAGACCAGACCAGGGCTGCTGGCGGGGCCGTCGTGACCTGTGGCCAGGTGGTTTTATTTTGCACTTAATTTTCGTGTTAATATTTTCTTTTTTTGTGCGTTTATTTGTGTTTATGTCTTGTGGGAAAGGCGCTTTGATTTAAGCATTTTGCTTTTGCGCCGATCCGCGATTATTTTCTCCGATGTTTTTTGTTCTTGGTTAACAAAATATACTGAACTGAACTGAACAGAACTGAACCAGCAGTTCAGATGCGTCGGACTTGTATAAGCAGATCGGGTGTGTCAGGTCAGTCTGTCAACATGTTAGGCATGTCAGGTCTGAGGTCAGTCAGTCATCATGCCAGATGTGCACTGTCAGCCAGCATACCCTAAACGATGTCGTAACTCGTCGATGTCCAGCGCTGTCAGTCACCGTCATATCTTCCTTTATTTTACCCAAGTTCAGGCATGCGTTCAACCGGAATGAGCTTCAGGATATAGATAAATGAACGAATATATAATAACATTATAGCTAATATTATATATAATAAATCTTAATAATAAATGAAAAGTTATAGTTATGAAAACTATGCTAAAACAACAAATCTGCCGAAAAGCGTAAAAACGTCGTCGTCGTATCTGATATGATATCACAGTGTGAACCGTCAGGTGTAACTAATCAGGGACAGGTATCCGTTACAGATCATCGAGTTCCAATAACAAAGCCATGTTTGTACAAGATTAGCTGGTGAATGGAACATACCGTGGTAAAATTACAAAAGAAATAAAAGGAGCATTTTATAGATTTTATTTGCTTTAACGGAACATAATGAAGCTAATCAATTTTCAAAACGATTCGGGCGATCTGATGATTTTGAACTGTGTCCTGTGATGCGACCGACCTTCGGTTGCCGCCGGCGGCCCCACGAAGCTCAGTTGATGGTAGACGATTGGGCAGACCAGCTGCACTGAGGCTAGGATAAATCGAGCCGGCATATATATTCCCAGTGCTATCTGCGCCTTTGGGAGACGGCACCAGCTGGTCAGTTTTCCACCGTTGCCCACGAGTTTTCCACCGTTGCCGACCGATTCACAGCCTTCCGGGTCCTATGAGGACTGCCGAGGGGCAGACAAGCAAAGCATGCTCGGTGCTAGTGTACCGCAGCAGATGAGCCAGCTGTCTCACAGTCGGAAGCTCGCCGGAAGCACCCAGCTGGAAACTCGCTGGCTTGCAACATACGCGGCTTGCAACTCGTATGACTGTCATGGACGTATCTGTGAGGTTTCTGACTCAGCTCTCGCCGAGGGTAGAAGACAACTGAATGATTCGCTGCTGTGATAATAAAAAAAGGAAAGAAAACTGAAATGTACTGGGACACCATGGCCTGGCCGCCGCTGTCGCAGTGTGCGGCGGCACAGCCTATCCGCCAGGCGTTCGTTTTAGCCGTGCGGTGCGATCGGCTCTTCAGCTCCGCAGTCAGTCCGCATGTCATGCTGGAATGGACTCTGAACAGCGAGTGAGAGGGCGTCACAAGGGTTAGCATAATCTCGGAGGATAATACTGGTCACTGATGATAGCAAGGAGAGGAACTCCAGACCACGAGATCCAGCTTAGTGAGTCCCTGTAACCGCGCCCACCGGCCAGATCGAGCTCATCTGGTCTGGTAACCTGTTGACCTGTCAACTCGGGTACATTCACCCTCACGTTCACGGTCTTTTAGACGGAACACAAATCTGACAATTTTATATTAGTTCAGCTAAATTTTCAAGCATTTTTCTACAGCCCACCCAATTAAGAGTGGGTTTCATGAGACCATTTGTGGATGAGACCTTGAATGCTGGCTACCACAAATCGCAAATATTAATTGCCACAAACAAGGATAACAAAGCTTCATTGAACTGCATCTTGTTTAAAATGCACGCGCAATTGACTGTCATGCAAGCAGGTATGTCGCATGCTACTCAAGTGGAGTCACATACCAATGCAGACTGCTCCCTGTTCAGACACGTCTCGTAAAAACACCGGCTGCAGACGCTCGCAGGCTTGGCCTTGAGCTGTGAGGTTTCCTATAGTTACATAAGATACCTACAAAAACAGACACTACAAAAGCTTCAACGGTGTGAGCTACATACAGATCGGCCGGCCGGTACAGCTTGGTGACCTCTCCTACTATAGGTCACCAAGATTGGCCCTAATCGGGTGCGCCGGCTTGGTGTTCCGTCACCGTCCAGTCCCTCCAGCTTTTGACGACGGCGATGATGGTGATGGTTGTGAATAAGCGCACCGCAACAATAAAGCTTTACAGCGCCCATGCAAGTTATATGGTGCCCTTACAAGTTGCCCATACAAGTTACAAGGCAGTGGCACTCAGTCCAAGCTTTAAATGGACCTCAGCATTTGAATGAGTGGCTAGGTAATGGTATGAGGCAAGGGCAGTAGTCCTGTGCTGCTGGAGCCACTGATAATGGTCGTTACACGTATTGACCTCTATACTTCCGATGCAGGTTTAGCTTTTAAAACTTTTCGAGGTTTATATATGTAGGTACTCAACGTAATGATCCATCGCTAGAACCATGAGCTTGTCTAGTTATGATCTGGGAACATTTTCATTGCAAATCATAAATTGCAAAAACTAGATTTATCTTTCATTAAGCTTTGTTTGACGGCATGACGGCATAATACATGAACACCAAATGACGATATTTGGTGTTCATGTATGAGCATTTGTCAGTTAGAAGCGCAGCCGGAGCCAACCCACCATGCTGGTGCACACGTATGTTAAATGAACTGCCCCTCCCGCCGCGCGCGCCCCGTCCGGTAAGATTGGGTGGGTGCGGCGATGGCACATGTATGTGAACATTTGTGACCATTGGCCGCCTCAGGGTCATACACGGGAGACCATGGACGGGCGAAATAACAACAGCTGGGTTTTAGTTTGCAATGCATATGTGGTATCAGATCAGTTTCTTTCACTATTTGATACGATCCTTCAATGTAAAAGAAAGTTAATCTGAGGAAAATTGACAAAGATAAAACAGGATAAAAACCACATCTGTTTTTGCAGTGTATTTATTTATCCAGACACTCGATCACAAACTATAACCATTCTTTGAGTTTGAAGACCCGAATATTTCCATCGCACCAACGATAACGATGCCAGAGTTGAATGGAAGTGATGGCATCGGACACGGCTGTTGCTCTTTTGAAGAGCAGTAGACTGAACACACTGCACCGTCGTTCCTCTTATTTCTAGTTGACTGGTAGTTTGGTGAGCACAGGCCTGCAAATGCATATTGGCATGAGTTAATGCTTACAGTTAGGAGTTGAAAACGAATAGCTCAATTGACATTGGCAATGATATACCTACTCATGAGCTTCGATAACAACTGCTCGTGTTAATAAATTTACGTGGTTCATTAGCTGAGTCCTTCGATGGCACTTTCGTTTTGTTCGTTAATATCCAAAGTCTGACTCAGACTGTGAAAAATACGCCAACACCTCTCTTGTGTCTGCCATCGCAAGCGAGTTGCAACATGGTCCCTTTCATTTATGAGATGGCCGTTATAAACTCCTGAATTCTCTCTCTTTTCGGTCAAATAAAGCGTGGCTTTGGTCACGTCACAACCATATCCCCCCCTCCGAGCCGGTATGTCTCATTGTCTCACTCGATGACACCGGGAGGCAGGACGGAGACATCGGCACAGCCGTAGAACTCCTCCTGGGGGCCGCAGCCGTCCATTCCGGTACCGTTTGGACAGAGCCCCCAGTCGTTACCGCCGTGGTACCGCCACTGAGGACACATGAGACGTAGCCAGTCATTGGGGAACGGCTTTCGTTGTCTCTATCACTGCTGTGCAAAGTATCAATGAATGACAATGAATCAGTGTCAATGAATGACACTTGTTCCGTGTGAAGGCGATTGAGGGAGTGAAGGGAACATACTGCAAATAAATACATAAACGCACCAGAAATTGTTGCAGGTTGAGTCCGTCGAGTTTTCTTTTTACAAGCAATGTGCGAATATTTTCATTCCCTACATTCTGCTAAAAAATTCAGTTGTTCAGTCACATAGAAACCTACCTGGAAGACGCAGTGTTCACACTCGAGGTCCTCGGGCAGCTGCAGGTTGACCACGAAATCGCGCACCTCATCTGTGATGTAGTATTTGGTGGAGTCCGAGCCAGCCAGCTTCAGAATGTTCCTAGAATAGTGAAAGAGCCTTTCACAAGTGTCTCGATATTATGCCGCTTTATCTAGGGTGAGTGTTTTAAGCACTGCATAGGCAAAAGGTTTTGAGGTCTGGGAAGTGAGATATTGAAGATTTTCAAAAGAAGACTGAGCTGAAAGGCACGAAAGCTTGAAGGGAGAGGCAATACACGCCCTCCACCTAAAAAATAACAACACATAAGTTTGCAGAGATAACAGCATTGGCCATTGACTGTACGGTGTACCCGAAACCTCACGGATCCTGACGAGGGCTTACTTATCCAGACACTCTTGTGTGGCCTCGGTGTCAAAGCCGGGCACTTCACAGATCTTGAATTGGAAGAAGCCCAGATGGTTGGCTGTGATGGTAACGACCACCTCAATCTCCTGTAAATATGAAAACAAAACGATCGTGATGTAGTGATGGATGAGCAAGTGGGGGCCATATTGAGCAGTAACGCTGGACCAACTTTTCTGTTGCCAATGTTACACTATATATGGAAACTCAAACTCGTTATTTCACTGTCATTTATAGTGTTCATCAAGACGGAGCGCATTGTCAATATACCTCATCCAATATCCATGCCCAATGCCCCCAGATACAGGGTTTTGGGAAAAGATGCTACATTCTAATGCATTAGATATAGTGATATCAATGACCCAGCCCTCACCTGGCCGACGGTATAGTTGCTGACGATGATGCCCTTGTAGTAGGGCCCTCCGATCTCGTGAGTGCGCGGCTGAGACTCGTCGTAAGGGTCGCCACAGATGCCGCACTTCCCGCCCATGTCATGCTGTTGGTGCTGCTCGAACAGTAAAGCACAAACCATGTGAATGAAGCTAGGAACCGACTCTAAGCCACTTCTCATGCAATTAAGCATAACCATTAACCGCTGCTCATGAGGGCAACGGGAGATCCTGTCACTAAACTTGCGTGATAAGTGGCACGGCTGTCGTTTCAGTTGACTGTTGGCTGTGAGGGGTGGAACATCCTGACACCTTTGCCTCCAGTCTTTTATTGTGGGAAAGTCTATCTCACTCTGACCTGAGCCAGCCCAGGACCTCGTCCTTCACTTACGTCCTTTCCGCCGCAGAAGAGCTGGTTGTCGTTGTAGTCGGCCGGCGTGTTGTACCCCCATCGCCACATGGTGGCACGACACGGAGGGTCCCAGAGGCGACCGTGGCCGCTCGCCGGCCCGACCTGATCACGGGTCACAGCGGCAGAGGTCATGTGCGTGATATTTGGAGCCTGGACTATATCAGGGGCATGGCGCTTAAACTCTAAAGGTCAACATTGTTGAAGGTGATGAAGCGATTTTGGAACGATTTTTATCCAGTGCCAGAATATATTCAATAGGCGTGCTCAACTGCTCAGTTTTCTAATGCAAATGTTGCTAGAGATAACGCTGTGAGACTTTGTGATGAAGACTTTTTGACAGCGCTGTGGAGAACGCTTCACAAATGAAGCTAAGTTGCAACTTACCAAATACGATGACACCAGCAACACACATGTAAGGACCATCATCTGAAAAACAACATGTTCCTGTTAAAGGCCGTTAAAATGTCGTTAAGTGTGGAACGCAAATACTGCAGCACTTAAGCCTCTCTGCATTTAATGCACTTAACACCTGCGATTTTGCCTTCTTCATATTTGTAGTTAATATCTTTTCCCATGAAAGATACAGAACAAAGAATAAAGGAGCGATATTATATGTACTTAAATTCAGTGGCTGGCATATTCAGTCGTGTTATCATCTGTTGTGCCTATAAGTTGACGTCAGCTTGGACCTCCCTTTTCATCAGTCATTCAGCGGGATGTTGGGCTCACCTTTGGTGACACGGTGGTGAGCTGAAGATGCGCCCCGTGACGCTCGTGACAGCCGTGTGACGCCGCTGGCCACACCCGGCCATCGGACCGTCACACTGCAGGCGGTCGCCGCTGATTGCAGAGATGCTGACCGCGTCAGGTGACAGTTTCCCATATGAAACGCGCTTCATGAAGGCTTGCGACAGAAATTCTGACGTCTCATTGAAGGACAGATATTGAGTTTCAAGGTAGGCATGACCTTGCAGTGTATGAGAAAAGACAGTAAGATAAGATAGGGGAAGTTGGGGCAATGCCGGAGTTGGGGCAAAGCCGAAATTCGAGATATTTCGAAACCCGTGAGACATGGATGCCACCTGTCAGTGATGCTCTGAAGCTTAAGTGACTACAATTATCGCATGTTTGTTACGAGCCGTCATTCGGAATACTTCGACTGTGAGGGCGCCAAGAGCGTTTTCAAGGTACGTTTCCCTTGTACTACATGCGCCTTTGAAGCTGCATTTGTTACTCATTATGCTACCGTTTGTCTGGCCAATTCGGTCAAGTAATCTTTAGCATGTCTTTGCATAAGTGTGCTGCCTATTTGAAATTTATACAGCACGTTGAAAAGTTATGGGCCTGCAAATGAAAGTATGGCAGGCTGTGTAATGCCGGAAACGTGCGATTACGCACGTGTTAAAAGCACGCTACGTGGACTTTACTGCTGTAGAATAGCAACGCGTATTTTTAGTCACACAAATTACACTTTCAACCGACACAACGGCCTGTTACCTATAAGGAATGATTTACCTGGCATGTTCTTATTATATCACACAATTATAACTTCCAGTGTGCACCGCATCCTCAAGCTCTTAAAACGCGTGTCAGCTTTGATGAATTCTGGATAAAGTTTGAGATAAAATGGCAAAACATCAATGTCGGCATTCCCCGTAGATCATTTCTCCCATTTTCGGCTTTCCCCGCAGTCCGGGGCAACGCCGAAAAAGTCACTTCTTTGATATTTTTAGTTTGTGCGCTTAACGGTATGCGAATTCATCAAATGCGCCTGGTATGTTTGAAAGGCAAAAGACTGGCCTCTCGAATGACGCCAACAAGAATAGCTTATGTTGTCTACCTTGCGTGCTACGGGCGTCAGAAAAAAAGTCTTCGGCGTTCCCCCAACTTCCCCTATTGCGTGCTGCATTGTCCATCTTATTTGATTTTCCTGGATCAATCAGTCTAAGATTTGCTCATATTAAAGTCACGTCGTGCCAAAATAAAGAAACGTGAAGTTGATTTAGCGCTCAATACTTGTTTGACTTTACGCCTTTTGACCAGTAAAACGCCTTTTGGGCGACCAACGGAGCGAGCGAGAGGATGGGCCTTGCACATGCGAAATTGCGAGGGGGTACCTCCAACTAACTTGTGCACTGCACCCTACTAACCGGTCTTTAGCGATGTGCCAAATTTCAGCGCAATCGGCCTAGCCGTTCTCGAGATCTGGAAGCGGCACACTGCACGTGCGCACGTGCAAGCGGGGTCCAAACTGACTTTTGCACGGCACCCTTCTAACTGGTCCCCAGCCGTGTACCAAATTTGAGCGCAATCGGCCCAGCCGTTCTCGAGAGCTGGGAGCGCCCCTGCACGTGCGCACGTGCTGTAGCACCCCAACCTTAACACATGCAGTGTGCAGATGAATTATCTGATGGAGACCTAACTGTGTACCGAGTTTCAATTCAATCGGCCCAACCGTTGTGCCGTTATTGAGGTTGCAATTTTGATGGTTCTTAAAAAATGTCCAACTTTACCACGCGCCACGTGCGGTGGTTGGCAAGAACGCATGGTGGCCATCACACCACAGAACTTTTACGTCCAAGTGACATTCAGTAAAGAAGACCGCTTGTCAATCGGATGTCCCGTTCCTAAGATATTAGCTTTTGAAGAGCGTCCCCACGGCCGGCCGGCCGCTCATACTCAGGATTTTCCCTTAATTCAGTATGAGACTCCGCTCGCTTCACTCGCTCCGTAAAAAGTCACGTCGTGCCAAAATAAAGAAACGTGAAGTTGATTTAGCGCTTAATACTTGTTTGACTTTTTTATACATTTTATCAGGCGAACAACACAACACACAATCTTCCCATAGATCGCGCATTGTTTACTCCTTCACGCATCTCAAGGTGTGTCCGACATAACGGGTGGTCAGTATGAAACTGGACAAAGTTTGAATTGTTACTGTGTCAAAAGTTTTCAAGGGAAAGCAACGAAAATCGCGTTACCGTGCCATTATTTTGTTGTGATCCCGCTCGCCCTAATATATGTGCGACACTGGACCTCTGTCAGCCTCCAAGCGCACGCGCGCTGGCAGCCCCGCTATTGTCTTTCGCGGCACCTCCGGGTCGATTTGACGGATGGCCTGCTGGATTCTCCGCTTCAATTGTGCGTTTCAGCTGACCTGTCACCTTCCCTTACACACTTTCTGTTCGATGAGCCCCACAGGTTCTCAATGGGCTAAATCTGAGGAGTCCATGGCGGGCTCATGTCACGTGCTATTTCGGGCACCCCAGCCTCCTCAAGAACTTTCGTGTTCTAGCGCGCGTACTGTGACTGTTGCAAGGTCGGAACCTGACAGAGCATCATGCTCTGTGTTCTGAGACTCAATAACTGGTAACAACACGCCATTCAAACACTTTTCATAGCACAGTTCGCCCTTTACATTGCCTGTACTCGGCAAGTTACTGGACGCGTGAGACCCTCGGACTCATGGCAAGCCAGACGGGCATCTCGGGTGGATGCTTGCTCTCAGGTCGAAAGCGAAGGTGCGATCCACATGTTGAATAGTGTCTCCACCAGCTGAGGTGTAAAATTCGGCAATGGAAGAGGCATTTGGCTGCCACTGCAGCGTCTGCAGGTGAAGTAAGATTCTTCGTCCATATGCACCTCCATGTTTTTCATGTTTTTTGCTACCCTGTATTGGACCCTGTGACAGACGGCGCAGGCGGGTTTTCTGCGTACGAAATTGTGCCTCCGTCACCTTTATCCCATTTTTGTACCTGATTCCTACTTGTTGACACATTAACTGGTCATATGTTTTGAAGCTTCCAAAATTTCTTCCCAGACATCACAAGGAGAGCCCCAACTGTTCGGTGACGGCGCCGGTTTGTTTCTTCCGGTGCTGAATGAGCATTTTCTTGGTGGCCTTGCCGTTCCCACCATGTAAAACACCTGCAAGTCCTCAGAATTTATCGATGATCACATTTTCTTAAGATCTGGTTACACCCTATGGCGTAATGTGACGCATAATGGAAGCATTTTTGTGATTTGTGTTATTTTCACAAACTTGCGCGAACAGGTCCTAGAACGCTTGCTGACATACCGGCGCATTGTTTTCTTCTAGTTAATAGCAGAAAGTTGAAATCTGAGCTGGTAATATATAATAACTGGAAGTATTCACCTGCCAAAAATAATTAAAATCTGTCTATAATTGGAGATGCTATGCTTAATCAAATTTTGTCCAGTTTCATACTGACCACCCGTTATGTACCTATTTTAGGCGTCGATTTCGAAGCACCTATCGTCGACCCAGCGAAATGCCCTGTATCGGTGCCAGTCGTTCAAGGGCCTCAACAAAGTCAACATGGCCTTGGAAAGAGCAGCATGTGTGACGTGCAGATGTATACACATGGTTGTTTGCAAGGGCGGCTTCAGATATCGGCGAGACGCTGTTGAGAAGAGTCAGTACTCCGTGGGTCCACTGAGGGTAAGTTGTGAGTGGAACTCGATCTCATGGGGCTCGTGGTCCTGTTAAGAGGAGATCAGTGCATTTCTCTAAATTCTTATGACATTGCGTCACTTTGTCTTTATTATAAATTTCTATAAATTTTGTGGTTTACATGAGTTTTTTTTTTAAAGAAATTAACGTTGAAATGCTTCTGTTAAAATTGTCGCTGGAATATTAAATAGAGTCGATGAAAATACTTTGTTCATGATTATTCTATGTTTGCTTTTAATGCGTCATTCCGTAAGACACTTTAGCAACCCATTTTTATCCATGCAAGCTTCTTTGTGTGAAACAAACGAAAAATATCATTGTTACAGCAGGTATGTACTTCTTATAATCTAGCACAAACATTACCACCAGGCATTGAAAAATGTCCCGTAGATCCAAGATTTTCATAGAATAATGGCCTCAGAGCATAAATCGATCAGTTAGCCCAGAACTGGGTCTATGTTTGGTTTCCATATTTAAGTTGGAATGGAAATTGTGATCCCTTATTTCTGAGAGTTATGATAATAAGCCATTTTTATGTTCTTTAACTTGGACAGTAAGAACTATAGGCTAATTATTTACGCTTGTACGTACATGTAGGTGAAGAGTAAATAAATTCGAAAATATATAAGCATGACCTTTCCTCGATATTGAATAAAAAAAGTGCCGAAAAATGTACTTTATTGACAGAAAATATGTGATATTTCGGCCACTGGCCTTTGTCGAACATATATAATCAAGAGTCTCATTCAGCGCATCCCACCGTGACAAAATATAACATGGCTAGGAGTCAATTTCAACGGGCGATTCGGAACTCATCTACCGCCGAAAAAAACAGAGGACTGGAAAGTATACGAAAAGTATGGACACTTCTGTCAAAAAATGGGTACCCTAATCACATTCTACGAAGGCTTCTGCGAGAGGCGAGAGCACAGAGAAGACCTTCAGCTGATGGGCATCAGCGCCGAGCGCAGTTTGACGGGTTCCTTTGTCTACCATACATAGACGAGGAGCTGCTGTGCAAGATTAAAAGTAAGGTCAAAAGATCAGACTTAGACATACGGGTGGCGTGGCAAAACAAGGAAAAAATAAAAAACAAACTAGTACGATCCGCTATGTCGAAGCCAGTCTGTCCGGGGGGTAGGAGATGCCACACATGTTCAACTGGGTTCGTGGGGGATTGTACACAGAAAAATGTTGTATATGAAATTAGATGTGAACTTTGTCGCCAGGATGGACATGACTGTGTGTACATAGGTGAAACGAAGCGCCCCCTGCGACTGCGCTTCAACGAGCATGTACGTGACCTCAAAAATAGAACTCCAGATACTCCCATGGGAGAGCATTTCCAGGCCTCCCACTCTAATATTTCAGTAGATGGCAAAGTACCTCTCACTGTGAAAGTCATGTACAGGTCTAAGGACCACCCGGATCGAAAAATAGCCGAGTCTTTGATGATCAGGAACCACCGCCCACGTCTAAACAGTAACGACTCGTCATGGCCTATCCTGTGAAATTATATGTATGTACATTGTACATGTGTTTATATGTGTTGTGCGAACTGCTTTGAGATATGTATTAGTGATTTGGATTGTTTATTGATGTGCTTGTTTTCATTTGATTTGTATAGACTCACCTTCCACACGCGGTCTTCACAGATGTTAGGATAATTTCGTCTTAAACTGTCCTTACTTTCTTTCGGTCTAAAGCCTTTGTCATGATTTTCTAGCTTTATGAAGGTATCTAAACCTGATTATAGGTATTGTTATTGGCCGGTAGGTGTATCTAAACCTGTGTTCTCATAGATAGAGTTTTCACCTTTCAACGGAATTATAATACTTTGTTACAGTGGTACGATATCGATTTTGTCACGAACTGATGTACGTAATTTTGTAGAGGCAGTTGGACCTGGTTGGAACGCGATGCGGCGAAACGAAACTATTGTTTATCTTGATTATATATGTTCGACAAAGGCCAGTGGCCGAAATATCACATATTTTCTGTCAATAAAGTACATTTTTCGGCACTTTTTTTATTCAATATCGAGGAAAGGTCATGCTTATATATTTTCAAATAACTATTACAATGTTCCTCGCACAAGCACTTAACTCCATCAGTAAATAAATTCCTTAAAAGCATAATCAATATCTCCTATGAAATATTTCTGTATTATGTAAGTACAAAATCTCTGCTAAAACTGTCAAATATGGTTTTGTCACTTCAAACTTCAATCGTTTGATGCTTCGTTGCTTCGGCGATCCCGAAACATTTTGTAAGCTAAGGATTAATAAGTGAAATGTTTGTTTGATTTGTGCTTATAGCGTCAAATGCAGAGAAGCCACCATAAACGAAAATTTAAGGCCTAATCGCTGCTATCAAGTGAAATGAGTGTACACTGTACATAATATCATATATACATGGTTTTAAACAACTCTCATGCAAATTAAAATGCAAATTAAAGAAAGTGAAAAGCAAATTAAACTTTATGAGACTTAACCCTCGCCCATGTAGGGGGGGGGGGTGGTGCAACCCCCCCCCCCTGAGGTTTTTCTTAGCTACACGCCGAACCGTTTCAGATAGCCTGCTCAAATTTTCAGTACCCTATGGCTATGGGGCATCCTTTGCGCAACTTTTGGTATTTTTTTGTCAAGGTCATGTCAGGTCACGGAGTTATGACGTCATAAGAGGAACAACCTCCGGCCAGATTTACGCTAAATTGGAGATTGCTTCACATTGGTATAAATGCCGACTGACCTGACACACTGATGGATTGTTTTAGAATCACAATTGGCTGATTTGACATTGGCACAATGTCCGTTGACATTTTGAAGGTTACTAAAGGTCAAGGTAAGGTCAGTGACCTCGGTTGACCTGTAATGACTTCTTGCACTTGTATGCCTTTTCGGGGTATTTTGATGCCCTGAATTCGAATTTGCTATCCATTTCAGGCATCGTCGGTTGTTTCTTGTAGTTCATTTTGGGTCAGGGTCAGGTCAGTGACATCACACGCCTGACGTGACCCAATGCACAAATGACCTTGCAGCCTTCCGATGCTCCCAACGCATCATTTTTAGAGCTATGACATCAAAATACACACCAAACGATAGAGAATTGATCAATGATCACGATAGTGAAGGTTTCAAGTCGATATCTCTTACCGTTTTGCCGCAATCGGCGCGGAAATCTGAAAAAGTTAGATTTTTCCGAAAATATGACCTTTGGCCGGTCATAAATAGGTTAAATGTTGACCTAGGACAAAAAAATATATCACCAATCGCGAGATCTCGTTGAGAGCAATCCGTTGGTCTTTTCCGCTAAGCTCTACGACGCTCCGTTTTCAAACGCCAGGGGGGGTCGCACCAACCCCCCCCCCCCCCTGCATGGGCGAAGGTGGCAAAACACCGTTTACGGGCGAGGGTTAATTTAATATGCTCTAATATGTCGTAAAATTATGTATGTAGTCAGGATTGCATTTTAGTCAGAACTGGATGTACCACAGAAACGATCTCGAAGTTGGTATTGATTTGGATTATGCTTAGGTATGCATCTCCATCCGCTCCTAAAACAAACATTCTGTGCAATATGTTACACAAAATTTTTAAACGCTTTTACTGGGAAACGCTTGTCATAAACTGCACCGCAGGGCATAATGAAAGGGAGCGAAAACAAAAGGAGAACTTTTTTAGGGAAAATTCCAAGGCCACCACCCCACAGCATCTCAAGTCACTTTTCTTGATTCGCCAGTGACTTTCTGCACCTAAAGCTACCGATGAACTTCGGTAGGTGATTTCGTCAGATAAGGCCTTCTTAGCCAGCGAGTGGGGTGCCTTGGTACGACACTGGCGCTGGCACATCTTGTAAACAGATCTCTTTGTACCGGCACACCCATCAGCACTCATCACTTCGGGTGCAACGTGCCGGTACAGTTTAAACGTCACAGCGCATGGCCATGTGGTCGGTACTGGGCAACGGGTATGTTAACATTCGCTATAGTACTATGGGTCAGATACCTAATGTAGTCGAGCGTTTACTTTCGAGCATGTACCATCTTAGTTATTCTTGGATAAACACTTCATCCAATCACTATAAATAGATGTACATTACACGTCCAAGTGCTGTCGAATGTAAGCTATGACCTCTTGACACGGGGTCAGATAAACATCAAGCCAGACTGAACATGGCGCAGGTCGTATGCACTATGCAGTATAACCTGGATGGGTACGCCGAATGGCATGTGATTCCTTGTGATCCATTTACGATTGTACTAACATGCTTTGCCAAGTTGTGATCCATTTACGATTGTACTAACATGCTTTGCCAAGTTCAAGTGGCTCGGAGAGTCTGAAAGATGGGGAAATCGAGGTAATATGACGGCAACAATGCGATGAGATCACGCTATCACGTTGCTTAGCTTGTGCATTGTGTTATACTTCTCATGGCCATTGCTTTCTTTTGCAGGTTCCAGTAGAATATCCGGAGGATAAATAAATTCATTTGCAATATCTGCGTTGCTTTGATCTGCACCATCTACTTCGTTTCGTCCTGTACTTGCTGTACAACTGAAATACCATGGAGAACGGTAAGTGACGGGGGATAAGCTAAACAAAAACCAAATAATATCCATAAACGTCAGCGTTATTACCAGTTTTTTATCCATAGGTCAATTTTTAACAAAATATGTTTAATGTTTACCAATAAGTAGGCATCCGTCGCAATGTTAGTGCTTCATGGCAACTGAATGTTTTCACAAGTTCATATCTGATGAGGCTATCGAATGCCGTTCAAATCTTCCCAGGCCTGTAGGACTGTTCTAGACCCTGCACTTTGGACCCCATGCTCACCGTTGAGGAAAGGGGTTGTGGCGCTCTACGAACTCAAAAACTATGAATTTGACTATCCAAATGCAAACGGCGTGCGGTAGCCCCATCATATATCTAATTGGGAAGAAACCCAGAGTTACGTGCGATGGCACGCGCAGCGGCACCTGTGCCACCTGTTGGCTGACCACTGACCATTGACCACTAGCCACTAACCGGTGAACGCTGACCACTGACCAGCGACCAGTGACCACTGAGACCACTGACCACTGACCACTGACCACTGACCACTGACCACTGGCCACTGACCATTGACCAGTGACCAGTGACCACTGACCACTGACCAGTGCCCACTTACCACTGATCACTGACCACTGGCCAGTCCCCGTTGACGACCGATCAGGTTTGCACGGCGCCCGAGACTGACCCTCTGAGTTTACAGGCGGAGACAGCACAGCGAAGATTAAGTATTGTTCTCTCGGGGACGCCCCGGTGAAAGAAATCGAAGACTTACTGACACATGGGTTTGCGAAGGATGCAAGCTTGTGAGTGTTTCACTTTTTCTTGACATGTACTTACTAGTGATGTCAATTACGGAAAATCGGAAACCGATACCAAACCAAATACCAACCAAAATCACGGGAAAATACCGAAACCAAACCAACTTGGGAAACTGAGGGAAATACCAACTTTTTACCGATTTATTAGCCTCTTATACATTAGTGAGGGCTTATGATACCAACAAAATACCAATTACCAAACTCATTACGATTGAAATACCAAATACCAAGTTGGTATCGGTTTGGTATCGGTATACCAAATAGTTGGTATCCGATTGACATCTCTAGTACTTACATCATGTAGATTACAAGCATGAGCAGTAATCGCCACGCAAATAGAGAATGTGTGTCGCTCTTGAATGTGCAATACAAAACAATATAATGCAATGCATCAATTTTAGGCTCTGTAGTGAAGCAAGACATCCCTTAATTGTCAGTCTAATAATACCAGCCGACCCCGTTGCGTGTTGCCAGTCTGGTGCTGTGCCGGAACTGCGAGGGCGGCCAGCCGGAGGACCATCGTCCCTGGGTGAAGGAGGTCATCAGCACACACGACTGGAGAGTCTCGCGAGTGGCGGTGGACGCCGCCACGGGCGCGGTGGCCGGCGTCTGCCTGTGTGACATATTCACAGCTGACCAGCCGACCCGGTCTCTCGAACCCCTGATGCAATACGACACCGAGGCGTGCCGCCTCCTTACTAATTACCTTCACCAGATAGAGGGTGATTACGATGTGCTCAAGGCTCTGGGAGTAGACAAGGCTCTCTATTTGAGTATGGTGGCCGTGGACGAGAGGTGAGTAGCGAGTGAGGCTGTATTTCGAGCTCGTTACCTCAGAGTCTACATAGAGTCTCTAAAGTATTTTGTTACTATATTAGACATTGCACTAAAACGCATTGCTTGGGTATGTGTATTTGCCGCATATTTATAGTTTTGGAGTTTAAATGTTATGACTAACTCACGCGACACATGTGCTTTTCTGAGAGATCTTACTGTAAACTTTCAGGTATCGCCGTCAGGGCATATCACTTGAACTCAGACGTCAGTGCCTTGAGCTGGGTCGTCAGCAAGGCTGCCAAGCTGTTGTCGACGTCGCTATCTCACCGTTCACACGCAAGGCTCTCACCAAGCTCGGCTTTGAGCGGGTGAAGTTCGTGTCGTTCACCCAGTCAGTGCTCGCTGGTGTTGAGAAGGTCGACCTGTCGGGCTGTGGACCCGACGATGGAGCCGCTCTGATGGTTCGCCGGCTATAAAAGTGACTTCAAGGGAGCTTTAGAGATCATCTGGAGTGAGATACATAGATGCCTCTCGGGTCTAGCTTATCGTACTAGTTAGTCGTAGCGGAATGAATGTATTTTAGCTTTAAATGTACTGGATGCTACCGGATACTGTATTTGCGAGTTAAGGAAATGTGAAACTGAGTTTTGATGGGGCTCAAGAAAACGCGCGTCGATGTTTCGATTGTTGCTTTTTTCGCTTTCACAGCTTGTAATTTTGCTAATGAGAGCTATTGAGCTAGGCATTGATGACTGTATTTTCTGTTGATGTTGCAGCTCGATTGGATGAGACGAGAGATATAGGCGGGAGCTTTCTAAGACCGAGTGTTACGGCCTTCATTTCTTTTAATTTCAGCTACAATGGGCTCTTTAAGGATGCCGTCTGTGATGTCGATGACAATGCAGAAATCGAGCCCTGTGCTGCAGAATCGTGTGTGTTCATTATACAGGGTGACACAAAAAAAGCGGTCATCACCAAAATTCGAATAACTTCGGAAGTTTTATTCAGACCATCACCAAACTTCGGCGACTTTAGGTCACACCTATGTAGCAGACATCCACCAAGTTTCAAGTCTTCACTACCAATACTTTTAGTACAGTGTGTGTTTTACGGACGCTCCACAATGTGCTCCAGGTGAGCGCCCCGGCGCTGCAGGGCGTAGGCACACTTGCATCCGGCGGGCAAAGTTGCCGATAACCCGATAAGAATAACGTTTCAGGGGTAGCACACCCCTGAGCACTGTCTCCAGAGGCCATTGCACTCTGTAAAGTGCACAGCCATCGGGTTATCGACAACTTTGCCCGCCGGCTGCAAGTGTGCCTACGCCCTGCAGTGCCGTGGCGCTCACCTGGAGCACATTGTGGAGCGTCAGTAAAACACACACTGTACTAAAAGTATTCGTAGTGAAGACTTGAAACTTGGTGGATGTATGCTACATAGGTGTGACCTGAAGTGGCCGAAGTTTGGTGATGATCTGAATAAAACTTCCGAAGTTATTCGAAATTTGGTGATGACCGTTTTTTTTGTGTCACCCTGTATCTGAATTGTATCAATGTATTGATAAAAAATAATCGAAACGCGTTTACATTGAATACAGATAAGAATTTGATATTGTTTTTAATTAAACTGAACAGTCCTCGTTTGTGTTTTAACGAGAAAAGCCTGTTTTTGAAATTGTCTCTTAACCCTCGCCAGACCTACTGGTTTTCTACATATACGCGCCGGCCGAGGGGGGGGGGGGGGTACGACCTCCCTCCCCTCGCCGTGTCGCCCCTGGTGGAGCTAGCGCGTCGCGGAAAAAACGAGCGTGTGCGCCGTTACGAGACGCAGAGATTGGTACCTACCCGATTTTAAGGTCTTAGGTCAACCGGTGACCTCTGAGGTCAGGTCAAGTGCCCCAAGGTACGGTTCAGTTTTTGGTGAATAACTTCGCAAAAAACGGCCGCAGAGCCGTGATTTTGGCAGCATCGTGTTCGCCTCGCTCAGGAGCGTCGAAAGATATACTTTTTGTTTGGGTCAGGTCAACTTAGGGTGTTGACCTCAGGTCACGGTCAGGTCAGCGCCCCCAGGTCACGAAGTTGGTCGAAAGAGGTCATGTCGCATATCGTTCGATTTGGCAGGTCTTTCTGAGTCCATTGATGTCTTTCTCGACTCTCTAGCTCAATTCGATCGGGAGTTATTGACGAAAACCTCATATGACCTTGATGACGTCATAAATGACGTCACGCAAGGTCAGCATTGCAAAAGTGACGCATCTTACTTTGCAAGGAGTGCATCAAATCACGATTATATGTGCTTGAGATAGTTGGAGATCGTTCCCGGTGCCAGAATAGCAGTTTTCATTTTTCCCCATTGACTTGTAATGGTGAGGTCACGAAAATGACCTGACCTTATATGACCTTAAGGAAAAATCCGAGATATGCAAGTTGTTAATCTCGTAATGGATACTAGATCCTGCAAGTTTCAGTTCCCTGTGAAAGCTCCTCTGGCAGTGAGGGCGTTGCGAAGTTGCGACATCTGAAGACCGTGCAGAGGTTCACTTATGACGTCATAGGTCAGTGACCTGACCTGACCCGAAAATGCGGTTGGTGTCAAAAGATCCGGCTTGAATCAAAGGTCAGGTATCCCAGTTTCAGCTCTTTATCGCCAGCGTGTTCGGAGCTATCGCGAAAAACCCTATGGGAGGGGGGGGGGCGGCGGCACTCGCCCCCCCCCCCCCCTCGGCCGGCGAGGGTTAAAGAAAGATGCATTCAGAAATGTCGGGAAAATTACATAAGCATGTGCTTGTAAGAAGTCATACAGTGAAGGAAGTGTGCTTCTGTGCTGAACGGGTCGGGAAGTAAAGTGACTTCTAACTCATTTGGTGCCTCATATCCTCTCCGCTCAAACAAGGTGTTGATTAAACGAGCAGACTGTATCACATGCTAATATGTATTTGAATAAAATCACATCAAGTGAATACACTGAAAACAAAATGACACAAAAAAAACGACTAAAAACGCACAAGAAGAGTGTGTTAACTAGGCTTTCTTGTGTAACCTGCATCATGCATTTTTTGACCCGTCGCAGACGTGTCAATTTACAAATGTGTTAACCCAGTCGTGTTGTGTCCTAAACACAATATCATTGTGTCCTCAACACATGAGGCCTGTGTGAATACATTTGCAGAATACAAGGTAAATGTGTTACTCAATGTTTAACCCTCGCATGTGTGCGGCGTTTGCCAGCTTCTAATGTGTAGGGGGGGGGTCGGTTGGACCCCCCCCCCCTTGCCGTTTGGCCCCTGATCGAGCTAGAGCTTCGCGGAAAAAACGAGCGTGTTGCCCGTGACGAGAGGAAGCCGATGATACCCAATTTTAAGGTCCTAGGTCATTGGTTGACCTTCCAGGTCAGGTCAATGACCCAAAGTCGGGAAAATCGGGACCTGTTAGAAAGTCGTAAAGTGTGGCTGCTGAGGGGTTTTTCGGGGAGCTGATCACGAATATCGTGTTAGTTTTGATCACAGATGATGTCTTTAAGCATTTAGACCAGGTCGGGTCAGGTCAGGTCATGTCAACCGGTAGAGGTTGTGACGGGTATTCGTAATAGGTGTCAACCGCCTCGGACAGCTTCGTAACATGTTACGAAGGCACCAAAACTACTTCGTAAATGTTCAAATGGTTGCTAAATTCGAATTCACCTCCAAAAACTAGCCTAGAAACATGTACAGCTCGAAAAAGTGAACCGAGGTCATCCGAGGTCACCAAAGGTCAATGACCTGACCTGACCTTCAGGTGACCTTGACACTCACCCTAATGCATGGAAGCAACATCAAATCACATGTTTGAACGTTTGAAACCACGAAAAGCTTGCAAACGCGCGGCTAATGCGAGCCGACATACGCAGAATCGCGATTCCGGCCGAACATGGTCTCGGAAAAGAGGTCACAGGTCAAAGGTCATTTGGGTCAGGGTCATGAAATTTTCAGGGTAGGTGTAAAATTGATCAATGTGAGGGTACTGAAAGTTTCGTCGCAATCGGCCGCTTTTTACGCGAGTTATTCGCGAAAAACCATGGGGGGGTCCATCCGACCCCCCTACACATGCGAGGGTTAATACACTGTGAATGTGTTACTAAAATTAACACAAATCGCAAGTGAAAGAAGGAAACACGTGGTGACTATGCAGTTTGTTGCCGGGGCGCAGTTGAAGGGGCTTGGGCTTTGACTGGACAGGCTGACTGCCAAAGCCGGGCCCCGAGTGGAAGGAATCGGGCGCTCGGGTGCGGTCAGGGCTGAACACCCGGCCGGCCGACCCATACGAGGCCGCCGACCCATACATGACCTGGCACTGCGCCCAGTCGGCCGCTGGACCGGAACGGTTCCGCTTCAGGGCCGAAATGTGAACATGTCACGCAGGCAGCTCATTCAGAGCACCAACTGACGATGCCCCCGATTGGTGGACTACTGTGTAATGCAGTTGTCCAGGCGTTTCAGACAGCCGGGATAAATTTTTCAGCCACCGATTTTTTCAAATATATCCTAGGTATATAGACCGAGGAGTTTCTTCCTCCAAGCAGACGTTAATTTGCTATGCTTCAGCTTGCACTTGATGTAATCAGCGCATATTGCTTTAGATAATTTACAGAGCTGGGCGCGTTCCTCGATTTTCGGTAGTGCGTTAGCGTTCCTGCGTTCCTCCGGCCGCGGTTAGTGCGTTCCTGGAATAGCGTTCCTCATTTTTTTTTTCGTTCGGTGCGTTAGCGTTCCTGCGTTCCTGCGTTCCTCCCTCAAAAATACCGCCGAACCACGCGGCGCGGGCCCAACCAAACACGGGGCGAATCGATCACAGAATACCCAGAATGGCGACGTGGGGCCAAAAAGCAACTCCTCGACATCTCTTTTCCGAATCGAATATCTGAAATACGTTTTACCAATATCATCCGTAGGGTTTTCAACAAAAATACGACCTGCTTAAAAAACAATAGTTAAGTTAAAAGATGTATCTTAGTAAAAGTTATCATATTTACTTTACACATTTAATGCCTGAAACTGAATCGAATAGTAAACATCACCACTAAAATTTTTACACATTTAATGCCTGAAACCGAATCGAATAGTAAACATCACCACTAAATCTAAGCAAGCCTTCCTCGATTCGACCGACAACTGGCGCCTCTACCGGCAAACACACGTACTCGAGATTCAAACATTTGACACAGAGGTCATTGGCAGCAATATAATTTTTCGGGTGGTTCCGCAAGAACGCAGGAACGCTTCAAAATTTCGGGTGGTGCGTTCCTCTTACTTGCGTTCCTTTGAAAAAACTTTGCGTTCCTGCGTTCTTGCGTTCCTAAAAAGGGCGGTGCGTACGTACGGAAGAACGCAGGAACGCACTAAAGGAACGCACTTGCCCAGCTCTGATAATTTATCATGTATCGACTCCCTCGGCATTTTGACCTTTCTCAAAACACTTTGGCAATTTTTTACAAAACCCAGCATAAAAGTCGGTGCTCGAAAAACGCCCTCTATTATCCTCATCTGAAGTTAAGGTTCAGAGGTCGCTCACTGGTGGATGGCACGGCGTATTTGTGTAAGGGTACACGTCTACCATATCCGACAACAAATGATTTCGATACACTGATGCATTACATTCGTCCAGCGTGCTTGGCACGATAAAAGTGTGTCATTCTGTTTTATGTGTTATCAAACGTGTCGAAGGTCCCGCCAAGCGTGAAAATACTCAGCCTTATTGTGTTTTGGGTGCGATTAATACATGACTGATGCGTTACCAGTACAGAACATGCCCTCACTGGGTCGATTTGTTTTCAGTGTACCACCTCCACAAGCAATAAACGTCTCCGCAATATGAGTCCTGAAATGACTTCAGGCTTGATGTCGAAATTGACAACAACTGTGGCTGAAAACCTTACAAGGAAAACCTTACAAGGGAACGCTGGCTAGAATCACCGGAGCACATGCGTCATCTGAATTTTTATCGGAATTCTCCGATATGTATATTGGTGCGGACCAATATCCGATGAGAACTGGCCACCTGACTACGTGGCGATCCGGATACGTGCGGTGGATATTATATCGAACGCCGAGTGCGTCCGCTTAGTTCCGTTATACACCGTGTGACAGGCTGAAGAAGGTGGGCTCGAGAAACCCGTTTTGGATCAACGAGGTCTTCACTAATCCAATGTGAGTACACCGATACTGTAAACGACTTATGTATCGTTACCAAGCGAAAATATCGTAAGAAACAAACTTTCTGCTAAAACCACGCGACGGCATTCTTATAAGTGCCGTATGGAATGTTATGATTATGTAAGCTGACATTTCTCTGACTAGTAATTGTAGCATCGAATCGTTGGTAATACCGAAGTTTGGTGTTTGATACAAACGTCATAATTGCCTGTGCCCAGGGACTCATTAGGCATTGAAAACACTTCAGCAGCTCCTTATGGTCATCACTTGGTTGAGCAAATTACCCTCGAAAATAATTTTAGTTGCCTAATGTCTATTTGAGCTACTTCCTGTAGTCTATTGCAGACAATTCAAAACATTGAATCTCATTGCGGTGATGAAATCTCTTTACAATGTTATGAAGACAAACCATCAAAACTGATCATTATCATAAAGATGGATATTTTGCCGGTTTCGAATGACCTGTGTGAAGAAGCTTGCTTGGAATATGTGGTATTGTCTGTTGTGTTCAAATTGTCTGAGACGTTTTCTTGGGGACTACATTTTTAATACCTATCAACAAGGATAAGGTCACTAACACAAACTCCAAGCACCCCTTTGTTTGAGAAGTAGTTTTGATGATCCACAAGTTTCATATTTGATTGACCGAATCCTCAATATAATCTGAATAAAATGACAAATTAGCAAAATTTGGGTATATTCGATCACAGATCTTTGTCAACCGATGCATTTCGACTCTCTTAAATCCACAAGTTTCCTCTTATTTTTGATGGGACATCTATATAAAGGTAAATTAAGAGTCCTGTTTTTTAGTTAATATTCAGCTGTGCAACGGGCTTGGCAGGCGTCATGAAATATGTGATGTAAGAAATGGGACCGTTGCGGAGTGAGATCGAGAAGCACCCGCGTTTGTGTTGCTCGCTGTGTTCTCTTTCATCTAGACACTTCTAATAATGCTGCTCATTCCAGATGAAGTCAATCGCTGTCCTTCTTTTGGTGTCCGCGTATATGGTAAGTCAGCTCCATTAAACCATTGATACAATCAATGATATTGTTTACGTCGCAGCATAGCTGTTGTACACAAAAACATAAACAACAAAGCTTTTTTAGATAACTAGGTAGCGACATCAGCGAAAGCTATGTCTAATTTTTTTCTGGTACTTGCAGCAAATATGTAAAACAGACTGTGAATGAATTGTCGCATCTCTGTGTTTCTGTTTAAAGACACATTCGCGTGCCCATGTTTCATTAACCTGTGCATTAGTGTGCATGCTTGTCCATGTGATATGTGCCTGGGTGTCATTAGCTGTGTATCCCAATCCTACCGACGACGCCATCCCGTGCGGCGCCGGCTGCACACGTGTGTGTGTCCGTGTGTCTGCGTCTATACCTGCACCTCCGTCCGTCTGTGCCTCCGTACCCTCTGACACCACTCTCCCTGATACAGGCGGTGCAGGTGTCGGGTCACGGCCGGCTGATAAACCCTCCGTGCCCTCTGACACCACTCTCCCTGATACAGGCGGTGCAGGTGTCCGGTCACGGCCGGCTGATAAACCCTCCGTGCCCTCTGACACCGCTCTCCCTGATACAGGCGGTGCAGGTGTCCAGTCACGGCCGTCTGATAAACCCTCCGTGCCCTCTGACACCACTCTCCCTGATACAGGCGGTGCAGGTGTCCGGTCACGGCCGTCTGATGAACCCTCCGTGCCGTGCCACCATGTGGCGAGTCGGATACGACACTCCACCCGACTACAACGACAACCAGCTCTTTTGCGGTGGAAAGAGCGTGAGTGCGTCATCAGTCACACAGACCTCATTCAGGTGTCTGCACCATTCAGATGCTCCAATCATACAACAGGCGCCTGAGCCACATACTTAGGACAGATCCTCAGTCACATAACCGCCTCATTCATTCAAGATCCTCAATCACAAAGGCACTTGAGTCATACATTACGCATACATACAGGATGGGGCAGCATAATCGGGAATGCTTTTTGGGCTCTGGTCATGAGTAGGCATGGCATTATTTTGATAAATTATATCATGGCAATGAAACGCCCAAAAGTTGTGCATCATCTGACATGACTACATCCATGAGCATGCAACTTCCTGGAAAAGAGCAGCAAAATAGTTCGACGGTGCTCCAAGTGCTTTGCGCGCGCCCATAGACACTAATGTTAAACGAGTAAAACAAGAACATTTTGTTTAAAACAATGCCATTCCACGTAAAGGTTGCTGGACAGATCAACGTGTTATCACGGACGATAAGGATTGTGTGGGGATACTTAGGACAAAAAGTTAACGTAATCGTCGTAAAATAACTCTTAGCAGAGGACATACAGATGACTCACTTGAATATAAGGAAGAAGCTCTTGAGCATGTTAAAAAGAAACAATGTTCAAAACTTCAGCGACCAAAAATCTTATCACCGACTGGAATACGATAAAAAAGAATGGCATGCCATATAGGGGATTGTATCGAGAATATTGCAGCGGTCATGCAAAGTAAACATCCTGTTGAGGTGATGGACCTATGGGTGGTCTTCAAGGGAGGTGCACGTGGTGCACCCTACTTCATCGAGCCCGGATAAAACGAGCACCTCTGGTAAATACATCCACACTCTGGCAGACTCACGTGGAGTCGTCGGAAGAGAGGATCACTGACGGTCCAGATCACGTCTTACGAGGACTCTGTCCGTGCTGGTACTGCAGTGAGGACGACATGTTATTGTGTAGGGCACCTCCACCTGAGATGAACCAAAAACTTCTGGTCCTTCAACTCCGCCGATTTAAATCCGACCAAATTCTTTATATGGAGCGTTTTTTGGTAGAAGTTTAATGAACAACTTATCATCAGTAAAAACGGTCTTCAGTGCAAGGTACGAAGCTGATGGGCGATCATGGACAAGCAGGAGGTTGCACGTGCATGCGCGTGCTTTTGGACCCGCCTTGAGAAGGTCATCGACGCGAAGGGCGGTCAAATAGGATGAGGGATAGGTAAAAGGTGACCGATTGATGGGATGTTGTTAAAATAGTGCTTGGAGCTATATTTTTAAATTCATGACCAAATAATCCCGTTTGATATTTATTCCCGATTATGCTGCCCCACCCTGTACATACATGTAGACCAATCGGAACACATTTGTAGTAAAAAAAAGACTCATCAGTCACACAGCCTGGCTTTGAGACGTCTGTCTCTGTATGTATAATTTGTCAATTGCCCGGATGTTAGACAATAGACATTCTATATCCACAGTCCGCACCCCGTGAAGCTGTTGCTGACTGCCATTCAGTGCTTATCGGTGTGTCAATGAAGGTGGAGGATGAGATAGGTAATCACACTGCACACAATCGAGACGCCACCGGCTCAGCGACATCTCAGACTCGTGCATGAGGAGAAACCAAATTGGGGTATAAACACAGGGCTGTTGGGAAAGGGACGGAAACAGAGTGCCTCTTTGGCAAGTAAGGTCATTTACTCCAGGCTCTCCGCCATGGCTTTAGGATTAGGAGGCCCGACCCCAAAAAATGTACATCCTTTTACATACAGCTGCCGTATGGAAATGACAAACCGGTATGTAATTAGTGGGTTATGAGTTATGACTCCCACCCCCGTTCGCAAGGCCCCTAATTCACTCACATCTTACGACTCATGCTTTGAACAGCTATAAAACGGTTGACAGTCAAACTTTCTTTGGCTTAGATATTGCATGTAGAGTTTGATGACATCTAAAGGTCGCCCTCTTTTCTCTTCTGGCAGCACCAATACGATACCCAGGGCGGCAAGTGCGGTATCTGCGGAGACGCGTACGATGAGCCCCAGCCACGTACTCACGAGATCGGAGGACCCTACTACAAGGGCATCATCGTCCGCAACTACGCTGTCGGTCAGGTGAGGGTGATATACCACTGGATCGCAAAAAGCGATATCAAACTGTCTTCTGATAACTCGAAAAAGGGGACGTTGAAAGAAGGAACGATTCAGCATTTGTTCAGCGATGGGGCATAACATATTATTTGCTGAAAGCTTCGCAACAATGTTCGCTTGTCATTGGCTTTTCTACTGCCAATGTTATCCATGTCTTTGCCTATGCCATTCAATGAAGTATTTGTGTACTGCTTACAATCATTCAGACACACATTAGCGACTGCTTTATGCCACTATGTATGTCTATTTCACTGGAAATTTCCAGCGCCTTTTCATCCATATCGCTCCGTTACATCCCACAGGAGATCAAGGCGACCGTTCAGATCACGGCCAACCACCTGGGTTTCTTCCAGTTCAAGATGTGCCCCGTCTCCGGGGACGTGGAGGCTACGCAGGAATGTCTGGACAAGTAAGATGTTCCGCTTCCTCTTCCATCTTCGCTTGCAAGCATGCGTATTAATACAATACAAAGACGATCACATCTATGCAATAGCATCAACCAGAGATGAGAACAGAATGAAGAAAGACATAGGTACTTTTGTAAATGCAACACACGCGACTCAGGATTCATGATGTTCATGAGGCAACGGAGGCACTGGACTGAAAACAATGGAGTGTATGCTGAATGTGCTAAGCATCGCTAGTTGACGGCCTGATAGCCTGCTGTGTGTCACTTCTGGGCCGTATTGGTGCTGCTCGTTTCATGTAACGATCGCCTGACTGTTTTACAGACACATTTTGACGGTGGCCGGCACCAACTCGACTGATTACTACATCACAGATGAAGTGCGCGACTTCGACGTCACTCTGCAGCTGCCCGAGGACCTCGAGTGCGAACACTGCGTCTTCCAGGTACGTCCTCATAAAGTAACGAGGGAATGTCAGCTTTTGTAGGAAATGTCGATAAGTTAACAGTTCACATATATGGGAATTAGAGTGACCGGTCTTGAAAGCTACATAAACCAACAGGTTGGATGAAGAATAGCGTGGCATTACGACGTAGCTTTATAAGTCGCATCGCCCAGTTTTTGACAATTCGTTTCAGCGCGTATAGTCTATTCAGCTTATGTATTTTAACGTTTGCTGCTCTGTGTGATCCTGTTGCCAGTGGCGGTACCACGCTGGCAACGACTGGGGAGTCTGTCCGGACGGCACTGGAAGGGACGGCTGCGGACCCCAGGAGGAGTTCTACGGATGCGCCGATGTCTCCGTTTCCCGACCCTAGGAATGGTAAGCACTACCCCTCCCCCTGATACACCTAGCCCCCCCCCCCTGATGATTGCAATCCCAGCTTTGTTATTCAGTCCTTTTACAGGACATTAGTTAGAAACATCGAGCCTACTATAATAATATGACGCAAAAACTTGCATCAGTTTTTAATTCAAACATACTTTGGTGTCTTTGGTAAAGAAGTGTAATACCAAACTATTCGTGCTTTACAGGTAAGCTTTGAAGACGAATATAGAGATGTGGAAGATGCCCTGGAAGGTCAGCAATTTTTCGTCTATCAGCCAGTGAGGCCGATAATGCGTAATTCAGATTCTATCTTCCGAGACCTCCACCATGCTGCAGGTTTCAGCGAAACTTCAGCCTAAGCTGCACCCGTAGCCGGGCGGTTTACGACTCAGGGAATCAAGAGTGGGCATAGAGGCTGCATTTATTCGTCTGTATTTTGTGTAAATGTTTCAAGAAACTGTGCCTTAACGATTGCATGGTTAGTTTGATATTTCAAATATACCTACACACATCAGCATTCATCGCTTCCTCAACAAAAACGATTTGTTTTCTCACATGGGACTGCAAGGACATGGTCTCTGCCGCCGTGACACTCAGTACCCGTCTCTACTGCTCTCCCTATCCAACGAGTAATATATAATACTGAACGAGGCCGGTGTAAATAAATTTTCAAGACCGAGGTCCTTACTGGTTTTTTGAACGAGGCCGAAGGCCGAGTTCAAAAATCAGTAAGGACTGAGGTCTTGAAAATTTATCACCGGCCGAGTTTGGTATGTATTTTACTGTATGCCAACGATAAATTTATTTTCTGGACCGAAGCTCTTAGCTGACTTAGGAACGAGACCATCCCAAAATGTTGGCTTAAGTGCATTCTGGTAATGCATTTTTGACCGTGGTCAATTTGCTTACACCAGTTATTACCACACCCCTCTGGCTAATGTATTTGAATAGGCCAGGCATACAGTAAACAAAAATACCACAACAATGCTCTTAATGCATGGTAAGGTCGCTATAAGACATTTATCGAAACAGGAAATAGCCCTTTTTTATTCCGTTAAAATCCCAAATTAAAAGGGCCTTATGTAACACTTATGACTTCTGTGATCATAACTCATAAGTGATATCACAGATCACTTTCACAGCCGGAGAACCATCAGCGCGCCGCCATCATCGGGTCCACAGCCCGACAGGTCGACCTTTTCGACACCGGCGAGCACCGACTGAGTGAAGGGTAGGAACTTGACCCGCTCGAAGCCGAGCTTGACGAGCGCCTTGCGTGTGAACGGTGAGGTGGCGCAGTTGACGACCGCCTGGCAGCCCTGCTGACGGGCCAGCTCCAGGCACTGGCGTCGCAGCTCCAGTGATATGCCCTGTCGCCGGTACCTGCAAAAAAACGTACATAAGATTCATCACAGAACATACAATACATCTAACTGCAATTCGTTTATATGCGGTATGTGTGTGTGTGTGTGTGTGTGTGTGTGTGTAATTGTACCTTTATCGAAGCATCTTACGATGTAGCTGAACAATTCCGAAGCCATCAAGAAACGAACTATCAACTAAGTTTTAACGTTCTGCTGCTAAGAAGTTTGACAATATCCTATCTCGATAAATGCCATGCTGCAGATCAACATAGCCATACATACCAAATTGCTGTCGACATTTTATTTGTTCTAAAGAAAGAAAGAAACTATATTGACAAAGCAATCTATTTTTCTTCAGCTTCCCACGTTTCCTTTACAGCTGGCGCAGCATATGCAATGCGTGTTGCCGGTTGCGCATCATGAGCCCTTGAAATCTACCCCACTATGAACAGAATGCCTCGGATCTCGCTGCAAACGGCTCGTCTGCCAGCCCGCCACCTATTGGAAAAGTCGCGAACTTTAGTTCTCTTCACCCTGCAATGCCACAAATGACAGATTTACCGGATTTGTAGCAAGAATGGGGTCCTTTTTCTCATCGTCTTTTTTTCTGATACCCATGAAAACATGAGTCGGTCGAGGTGGAACGAAATTCAGGGATGACATTGTGACTACCGGGCACTTATTGCCTCTACATATCCCGTCACTCACCTTTTATCCACGCCCACCATGTTCAGGCAGAGGACCTTGTCGACTCCGAGAGCCTTGAACGGGTTGTAATCCCCCTCCAGTTGATGAAGGAAGGCGGCGGTGAGGCGACACGCCTCGGAGTCGGTCTGTGCCATGGGTTCGAGGGCTCGGGTCGGCTGGTCGAGGGTGGACATGTCACACAGGCAGACACCGGCCACCGTGCCTGTGGCGGCGTCCACCGCCAGTCGCGAGACACTCCAGTCGTGGGAAGTGATGATCTTCTTCACCCAGGGACGATGGTCCTCCGTCTGGCCGCCCTCGCAGCTCCGACACAGCTTCAGACTGCCAACATGCAGCGGCGATGACTGTTAACGATGCATGCAACGTTACAACGCGCAATACACATGTATGTACGTACGTACATTACGCATGTTTTGAGCCTCGAGTCTCAAAACACACTGATAATGAGTCACGAGTGAAACTATAGCAACGACTTTTCGCATTAAAAAAAAGTATTTTGTACGTTGTAACAAGCATACTGTAAAAAAATGAAGATGGGATACTTACGTGTTTTCATCCTTTGCAAAGCTTTCGGTCACTAAATCCTCAATCTCCTTCAGCGAACCCTCCTCGAGGGAACAATATTTGATGTTCACCGTGTTTTCACCACCTGAAAACGACTCGGCTCATGTTACTAGTCGGAAGCAAGTCGAGAAATCAGAACACTTGACGGAGCATCCTGTTGAGGGTGGGACTGCATGAAGCAATCCCGTATCAGACGGGACAGGATCCTGTCATGTCTTTTCATCATCAGCCGTCTTTTACGCCACCACAGTAGTGAAACGTCAGCCATTATGCAATGACAGGAGATGTCATACACGTATAGGGAACCCCTAGTCACGCTCTTTTCCCGAACCCAGCCGTGTAAGTGCAGCTGTCATAAAATCAGGCTAGCAAATAGATTACTTTGCTGAGCTGATTTGGTCAATTTTTCGACCTTCACTCTTCGACTCTTTAACATTGAAAATATTTCGGTACCAAACGACGGAATACTACGAGGGTAATCGTAGCCTATTAAGCTGGTAGATGTGTCCTTCCATGAAGGTTATATCATTTGAGTGCCGATGCGGACGTTACAATGAACCCGTAACGTTGACGTGTAGGGACATCAGTTGGAACACACTTTCCGGCCACTGTCAGCCACCTTAACCTACCATTCTCCATGGTGTCTTGCGGTGATATGAGAATAACGGACTGGAGCGATCCAGCAGCTGCAGGCTGAAGCGATCAAGCAATTGAAGACCGACCGTATTTCTGCAACGGGAGTGGGGAACAGTCGGTTAAAATGCAGGGATTGAGGCAGCGAATATCGTTTTACCGCCCCCTTTCACGCAGTGGGAGGAAACATTGACAGATCGAGGCATGATATGAAAAAGTGCTGCATAAAATATGTTTGTCTTTTAAAATGAAAACATGAAACACTGCTTGCTAAAGCAAGCAGTTGCGGCGTCGCTTTTGAAACAGGCAGGCCCGTCTATCTACTGTATTCTATTGACACAGATAAGCTTACTAAGATAGCTCAGGACGACATGCTTTGTGTAGAGACTATTAATTCAGTTGATAAAAATGCAGCACACACCATGTGGGACCCAATGTGTGGCGCACCGCACCATATCCATTGTATTTGAACCTGTGTTTGTTTTGTTTTACAAAACTCGTATTAGTTCTAGTCGCTTTGGCGCTTTGGCTTTGGCGAGTCAAATAAATGAAAGAGCCAATGTAACAGCTTTCAAAGGCATTTCATTGATTTTTTTTAATTCTGTTTATTTGATGAAATGCACGGTTCTCATCATATTTTATCGAACATAAAATTTGAATCAGCAGCGAAACAATCACACTGCGTCAAAAGTAGAGCGTTAAGTGCACATTTTTCCTCTAAGCAACACAACCACAGGGCTGTGAGACTGCGCTTCCCATCTCCTTCCTTACCTTCAGTGGATCTCGATGGTCTCCCGCCTCTGCTCAACTCAGCCCGGCCGATAACTGAAGCCCCTCTCACAATAAACGCCTCGTTGCGGCGCCGCCGGTCTCAAGGCCATATCGCGGGGCTCTCGAACGATTCATGGCCATCACCCCAGTCCACTGTATCAGTGCAGTGAGGCCGTGAGCCCTACGGCCCCGCTGAACAAACACAGACTGTGCTGAGTGGGCGATGTCACGGCGCCAACACCAAACACAGCGACCGAGTGATGACGACATCAGTCGGGCGTAATGTAATGGAACTAATAATGTAATGTAATGTAATGAAACTAATAAATAAATGTAATGGAACGATGTTCAGCGGGGCACCGAAACTATAGAAACTGACGCCCATTTTTGCAGATTATTGTCATGAATTTGTGCAGATGCCGACGGCTTATGAAATGGAAACTGATGCGATTTACATGCTTTTGTAATTATTATAGTTCAAATTTTAATCATAAGAATCTTTAGAATGTAGACGGTTTAATTCAAAAGGATGCGATTTGCTCATTTATAGAAGTGAACTTGTCCAAAAAGACTCCACACTTCATGAAATACTTTGCGGTCCAGTGATGACGTGTATTCACCCACTAAGGTTTTGGAATAATTAATTACCTTAAATATAGGGCGCAACTAAGTAGCTTCCAACAATAAAAGTCATCAGTCATGTGTCCAGAGAACTTTAACGACGTAATGCCTGACGCATTGGGCCTCGGGAACGACGGCCCCTTTATAGGCAGCACCACTGGTCACCTCCGGATCACTGATGCGAGAGACTGCCATCCGGGATTCATAAACGAACGTTTTTTTTGGGGGGGGGGCGGACGAACGGATGGCGAAGCGAGCGTGAATTGCACATGAGCCCAATTCATCAGCTCCGACATCGTTCGCAAGGAGTCCCAACCAATTATTTTGTAGCATCTCAACCACTAGGTTTTTACCATTTGTTTAGTTGAAATTAGCATAATTATTGAACTTATTATAGTAGGTATGCTTCTTCGATGAAGTACATAAAGAGGTACTAATAATTATAATATTTCTCGGATACCTTCTAGTTAACGAGCGAGCGAGCGTAGCGAGCGAGTGAGTTTATGTGTGGTTCAACGAAGAAATCTCAGTAAGAAATCTCAGCGGCTCGAGCCGATCCAGCCCGGTACCGCGCCGCATTTAAATTGGAAACATACCACTCTCATCAAATTGTTTTTTTTTCCCACGGTTTTATATTTTTGTGCTTACGAAGATTAGAAAAGAAAATAATCAATATTTACAAAAGGAATTTCAAAAACATTTTCATATAGGGGGAATTATATTCCTTATTTGGTAGAGGCCGCCGCGGTACTTATTGCGCGTTGACCAATCATATTGCGTAGTTCTAAGCCAACTGCACACTGGCTGGCTGAGCCTGGCCTCTGCGACAGGTGGCTGCATTCTCGGCATTCTTCAAGTCACCACATTCCTGCACAAGACACCCTTTTCGGAACGAGAAATGGAATAGCCTCGCCCAGTGTGGTGGTTGGGCCGTAAAAGCTCCTGATTTGTGCTAGTCTCAGCTCAAGCTACTACAAAACTGCTATTCCAGTTCAAAACCCCATGTTCAACGTGGTATAACTATGGTTATACCATGTATAACGTGGTATGGTTATTTCTTTTAACAGCCTTACCTATACCTCGGCAACCGTTTGGTCGATCGACAAGCGCGTTCTTCTGCATCAGATAGAATAGATTCATCCCTAAAATCCTGAATGATGAATTGAACTGTTTTTGATGCTTACGGATGACCCACTACACAAACCACTACAATGTATGTATGTATGTACAGCCCTCAGCACACTGCGTGGTAGGTATTCTTTTGTCGACAAAACCGAGTATAACTCGAATACTGTGCTATCGGTCTCTCGATAATCGAACGAAACACCAATACGCGCGAGGCTCCTCACCTAGATTAGGCTCATCATGTAACACATTTTCCATTTAGTTCGGCAACAATAGGCAAAAGCTTATATTTACCCCCAAAACAAATTTTTGCCTTTTGTTGCCACACTAGGCGTATAGGCAGGGTTACTTTTACAGGAAAAGTCGAGAGGGGGAATAAAGTTCGGGGCAAGGGCGGATCCAGGGGCATCTGAAAGGGGGGCCCAATGCCATTAGGTTTTTGTTAGGATGGCGCCTGGCGCCTGCAGAACCTTACCTACCCCCAAATCCTACTCTCTCCCCGGATTCTGGCCACTTTATATTGTAGGTTGCCAAAAAAAAATTAGCTGAAAAATATAGGGAAAGATGGGGGAACACCGACCCCCTTAACCTATTAGGGTCTAGTCACGTATTTTTTGGCCAAATGATCAATCTCTCAGTTTCATTGGATTGTCGCATCAATTTTACATACATATCAGCCAGTTGTTTTCTTGTAGTGTCGTTCATAATTGCATTATTCCACATTTAGTAAATGTCTACATTTTTTCGGGGTGACACCGACCGTTGGGTAACACCACCCGGGCTCAGAAGGCAACGAAATTTGCAGGTTACTGGACTATTAAGTTGTTCTTCTTATCGTAAATTTCGAGGCATTTTAGTATTGAGTTTTATTCACGATCGATGGCAACACAAGTCAAATTCCTAAAACCAGACGTTTCGGCCACAGGGTGCCTTCGTCAGTGGACACTAGTGATTAATTAAATTAAAAACACATAGTATCAAAAACAATCGGTATAAATCGTTCGAAGTCGACACATCGGGCACAGGTTTCGAAACCTGTGCCCGATGTGTCGACTTCGAACGATTTATACCGATTGTTTTTGATACTATGTGTTTTTAATTTAATTAATCACTAGTGTCCACTGACGAAGGCACCCTGTGGCCGAAACGTCTGGTTTTAGGAATTTGACTTGTGTTGCCATCGATCGTGAATAAAACTCAATCATGTCTGATCATTTGCATTTTAGTATATCTATAAAATGCAGTGGGAACGATTTTATTATATCTCTTGTACAATGTGGTGCTCATTTATATAACTAGACGACTTAAAGTCTCAAAATTTATTTTTTTTCGAAATTTTGCATTATCCACTAAACAGAAGACATAGCAACAACGTTCTTTCTTTATTTGAAATGCGCCACTCTTGTGTTTGGTGTCACAATGTGCTATTAAATACCAAATTGCCCAAGTGGGCGGTGTTACCCAAGTGTCTCCATTTTTCTAAAAAATCCTTCAATATGGCACCACGACAAAAAATTCGCTCGAGCAGGAGCACGTAATGCTTGGATCAGTCCTACACACACAGAATATTGAGCGATGTCAAGTTCAATATACTCGTAAATAGTTCAATTAGCTTCAAAGTTCTGCTTCACTTAGTAAAATATCTTTAGTTTAAGTATTTTCGTGATAAATAAGCAAGGTATCCGTCGCACAACGCCATAATAAGTAAAGGCATCAAGAATAAGTTTGTTTTTATACGACGTTTATTGGTTATCTAACAAACATCGACAGTTTTATTACACCACACAAGCATCTTTACGCATAACAGGATAATGTAACAGCATAACAGATGTTCAAATACCTAACTGATATGTTTCCATGCAAAGCAAGTGTATCCATACGCGAATGAGTGTTGTGTCGCACTGGTAATTGCGGTACACATCCAGAGCACCGTTTGTTTACGTCAACCAGTGTAAATTTAGCGAAATTTTGAGCTATATGCTGACGGCGGCGGCGCCATTTTCGCAATCTGTCAGTTGTGCGCCGGGGACCGCGGGGGCCGGCGGGGGAGTGTTGTGGCTGCAGTGCGCAGAGTGGGTTTGCCCATTCTTGTGCGATCAGTGAGATAAACCAGTGCTGTGGTGTTTATCTAGTTCGATAATAAGCTGAGTAATAAGTGACTAAGTGAATAATAAGTGAAATACTGTATTGTGGTCATCGTCCGATAACTGCAATCAAGACCGAGTCTGAAATCTGAAGCGGAGCGACATTGGAGGAGCTGCTGGAACTATCCAGCTTTGTCGGAGTGCTAAGGTGGGCTTGTAATTTTTCAACTGAGCTGCTGTCGTGTTATGAAAATAATGGATGCACTTTCATGCTTTTCTAGGGTTAATTAGGTATTGGTATGCTAATATTTTGCCAGATAGGCAACAGAGAGCCGATGGCTAATTAAATGAACGATAATTTTGGCACAGTGAAGTAGTGCGTACAGATGATATATTTTTTATTTATTAATTAATTACGGACAGTTGACGGGAGACGGGCGGTGGCTGCGACCTGTAGCGGCGCCCATGCGTTGTGAAATATCAGTTTATATACCTACATAATAAGGTATATACGCTAATCTAACTTTTATTTCCGTCAGATGTGATGTCGATTCTTAACAATAAACGACAAACAAACAAACGTGTTTGCAGCATGGGGTAGGCATTGAGCATCACAATGTTTCGTTGCATTTAGCTAGGCTCGCGGCTGGCGACAACGTCCCGCCGCGTGTCGCTTGCGTTACAAATTTTGCGGGCCCAACATTAGCTTTACCAGAAAAAAATCGTTATAATAACCGTCATATTTGTGTAAATTTACCGTCATGAATTTGTGTACGATTACCACGCGAGTGTTCCTTTTGGTACTTTTTACCAAAAACACATATTTGTGCGTAAATGTAACGCGAGATCCGCGGTAAAGTTACACTGAAAGCGGTTCTCCTACACAATAGTGAAGCACTCCGAAGCTAGCAAAACACACATTTAAGTGTTCTTTTACCCAGAAAACAGAGTAATTTTACACCAAAAAAATGTTCCTTTTGGTACTTTCAATTACACCGTTTTTCCGCTCAATATTTCTGTGTGTGGGCAAAAAATACTACTTCAGGACTAATATCTGTCAAATAAGATAAGTTTTCTTCTGCTTATTTTGCTAGAAAAAGTATATGTAAAACGGATTAACGAAACGTAAAATTGGGAATTTCTCGCAAATCACCTAAACCAATGCGGGCACTGCCCATACCTGCTCTTCTGTTGACGTTACGCTGCCAAAAGACAGTTAGCTGTCGCCCTAGACCTTTTCATATTTCTGATATCGGGGTGGGCGGTGTTCCCCAAAGGGCAGTGTTCCCCATCTTCCCCTTATACGTAGGTAGGTACCTACCTTGGCGGTAAGGGGCGGGGGAGGTCCCAACTTGACTGCGCCCTTGCAAATGTCAATCAGTAGTATCAACCTATTGCCCTGGCCAAACATCAAGTAGCGCCTTTCTAAATAGAGAGGTTAACACGTGACTATTTTTGCTAGGCCAAGACCGATTGAAGGACCCATGGTTCGAAGGAAGACCCTTGGTTCGGAGAGGTCATGACCCATAGGCGGCGGAACGGGGAGGGCACCGGGGCACCGTGCCCCCCTTTGATTTTGGCATTTTAACATTAGCCCTATGGGCGTTCAGCGTTGCATGGAAAGAATGGGACCAAAAGTTGGCAGCGCCCCCCCCCCCTTAATTGAAGGCGTTCCGCCGCTACTATGACCCCCGTCCCCCGCCGGTTTCTACGCCGACGCCTGTAGCGATATGTCAGTGATTGCGAAGAGACGGAAGAGACAAGACAAGAGACGGTCCCACCGACCATCCGATCGGTATCGGGTCAAATCTTGAGTTCCCGCTGCACTGAACGTAAAATGGTTGGATGGAACCTCAATCAAATTGAAAATTATCTAAGCGCCAGCAACGTTGCTTGTTGACTAGAGTCTGATCAACGATGATTATAGAATCTGAGTAGCGAATTGATTGAAAATTGGCTCAAAAATAAATTTGTAAGGGGGAAATTCACCCTTCCCTCCCTACCCGTTCACGCACAATTTGAAAGGGGGAGCGGAATTTTCGAAGGGGGAAATTCCCCCTTTCCCCCCTTTAAAAGTTACCCTGCGTATAGGTAGGTTCATTTAATGATAGACCCAATCGAATAAGTGGACCATGGCACATCTCTTTGCAATGAGTTCCGATCGACTAATAACATAGCCTTTGAGTTATTATCGGTTTTGTCGGAAGAAGAATACCTACCACGCAGTTTGCTGAGGGCTGTGCAATGTGCATACATGTAGGTATGTACTATGTAGGTTGGGGCTCGGCAGAGCTAGCGGGAGTTGCTGCCACCTAACGGCATGGCTGGGAAGCTCGTCGGCTACGTCCAGTTGATGAACGGTTGTATATTACCATGGGTGAGCGCTGGCGGCTGTCTGCTCACGGGCAGCAGGCAGTGAGGACGTGCTCCTGGAATTTCACGGTGCTGACTGTGTCAATAATAAACAAAGTGCAACGTAACACATTGGTGCAGTCTGCAGGACACCGCGACCTAGGTGCAGATCAGAACTGGTCAACCAGGGTCCAGGGGCACGGTAAGGTAGGTAGCAACGACCGGCAATTTGTCAATTCTTTTGGGGGAGTAGATGGTAGATTTCGTTTGGTGTAAAAATTACGTTCGTTTAATTGGGTTTAGTGAGTCACGGACCCCAAGTTGATGTTTATAACCTATAGGCTAGCCCATTTACCGGTGCAACTGGGCAAGAATGGCGCCGCCGGCTGGCCCATTTGGAGGCACAGACGGTTACCAGCGGTGCGAGCGAATTTAGCGAGTGTCATTTGAGCGAACGGCATTGGAGCGAACCATTTTCAGTGGCAGTTCAACGATTATCAAATATAGCGATTATCAATGTGAGCGAAAGCTTTGTGTCGGTGACACCTTTTTCGCCGACTGCTATTTGAGCGATTGTCAGAAACACTTGATCGTCCTGTCACGGAGTATTTTCAACTTACGTTTGTGAGTTATAAATGACACAAAGTGTTGTCGAAACTTCCCATGATCATCCGAAATGAAACGGCAGATGTCACGTTCAATGTCTAAGCATTGAGCTCCAAATTTATTGCTACATTCTTGAAAGTGATATTATAGGATTAAATTGGACTTACTCCACAAGAGAATCGTTTTCGGTCGGAGCTTTCGACATGTATTACATGTCCTCTTCAGCGAAGGTCGGTAATCGGGGCGAAAATAAAACGTTCGGGTCGAATCGATTCGCATCATTAGGCGACACCAAGACGGCCTCCCGCCGTCCCACAGTCCGGATGTACGCCGACTCGAGCAGCAGTCGCATCTGGTAGTGGTTGGCTCGATTTAGTACCTTGACCTCATCGAAGGCAGGTGACCTTCGCAGGTGACCTTCGATGAGGTCAAGGTACTAAATCGAGCCAACCACTACCAGATGCGACTGCTGCTCGAGTCGGCGTACATCCGGACTGTGGGACGGCGGGAGGCCGTCTTGGTGTCGCCTAATGATGCGAATCGATTCGACCCGAACGTTTTATTTTCGCCCCGATTACCGACCTTCGCCGAAGAGGACATGTAATACATGTCGAAAGCTCCGACCGAAAACGATTCTCTTGTGAAGTAAGTCCAATTTAATCCTATAATATCGATTTGCTCTCCACACTAACATGTCTCTAAGTCTATTCTTGAAAGTGAATATCCAACAGGTCAATTTTGTCCCCGTTCTTGCCAAACATTTATTCAGATATTTACATTGGTTGTGTTGTTTTTCGCAACATCCTTATGCTTGAATTTGGATCAGTTCCCCAAGCTGCAAAACTATTTTTTCCCAAACATCGTACTTACGAATTTCCAGTAATTGTGTGAGGTCCTTGTACAATATTGCCTGGATTCCCCTGTGCCACCAATCCAGCTTATTATTGGTGGTTAGCATTCCCTCTGTCGTCCTATGTCTTTTCTGTATTAACTGCATTCGCTCAGTTAGTCTCCCATTGACCCCAATATAATCGCTCAAACCGGCTTCGCTGATTCTGGTCCTCGCTTTAGTTGATAATCGTCATAGTTGAATTCGCCGAATTCACAATCGCTCAAAAAGTCAATCGCTGAGAATAATCGCTGAAAATGATTCGATTCGTTCAAATGTCGTTCGTTCAAATGACGCTCGCTAAGCCGTGTCGCAGAACCGGTTACCAGGTCTGCTGCGGACTGATGCTGCGTGAGCTAATGAGAATCTGGCCAAAACGGCAGGCAGCTGGGGGTGGGGGGGGGGGGGGAAAGACCGTCTGGCCAGCTCTCCTATGGGCCGATCGGTCAGTCAGCTGTGGCTCTAACGACAGCCGCGACCCCGATCAACCTGCGCTGTTATAACTGCGGCCGGGTCGGTCACACGCGGCGCGCGTGAACGGTACTCAGACAAGAGTCCGTCAGTCCACTGAAAACGGTGACCGTTGTTTCGGATGCGATGAGCCTATGAAATTTGGCACAGCCTATGAGGCAGCCTTTTTACATATGTCCTGACAATTTCAGGTCCGGGTAACCTTGGATCTGGTCACCAAATCAGAAAAACCGGTACAAGGTCATGGTCAAATTTCAATTTTCTTTATGCACCTGTCCAACTCACAGTTTTGGACTGATTTCCTTCAAACTTTCAGGATGTGCTAATTTCACCAAGTTGTATAACATATAATTAGTTTTTTTATGTTACTGACCTGAGGTCAGTTAGAGGTCATTACGTCGTAATGCTAAGCCTATGGGAAAATATTCATTTCGGAGAATACTGGATATATCCGCTTCGTTTTATCACTTTTGTGCTCTGAATCATCAGTACTTAGCATTATGTCACTTGGTGCTTCTTTGTTTGGTGTACTTATCCATGGGTCAGGTCAAATGAGGTCAACTGAGGTCAACACTGGTCAGGGAATGGCGGCCGATGCTGAGGGACAAGCATCGGCCAGGCGTCCATCGGGGTCCCAGATCACGGCATCGGTGGTTGAGGTGCAGTTGGTAACACGGCAGGTTTGGGCTCTGGTGGATCCCGGGCGGAGTTCACGATGATTCGCGATTGTCTCCAGGAGCAAATCCAGCGGGAGCTGATGTGCCGGCTTACGCCGCCATCTTAGACGACGCGAGGGGCAGGCGGTGACTCGCCTCACATCGCGTGCATTTCCTGATCTGACGGTCAAAATCCAGAGGAAGTCATTCGCCCTTCCCATCGCGGCAGTGGTCAAGGGACGGATGTACGAGTTAGTGCTGGGGTGTGACTTCTGCTGTCGTCACGGACGGCACCTCGATGAAGGCGGGAGTGATCAGACTGGCCGGGATGTCGATTCCTCTGCCACTATACAGCATTATGTTATTTGACCCAGTCGGGCGCTATTCCATCCAGTCGGGTGTTATTCGATCCAGTTGATGGAAATATACCTGTTTTTTCTTTAAAGAACGAAAAGGAAAATCTTTTATCAGAACAAATATTTTCTTCCAACTGTAAGCAATCAATTTTTTATGCACTTGAAGGAGTATTTGGCATTTGGAGAAACCTTTTGGGGGCCTCTGCAGCGTCCAAGGCCGCCTTTCTGGATCCGCCAATGACTGTGATTGCAACTGCAATTGCATGGTCCTCTTCAATCTTCATCATGCGTGCTCTCTCGGTGGGCGGTGCACACTGCGCACATCCGGCAAGCAGCATGACATAAAACAGACATCGGCACGACCTTTGCAGTTTGCATTAGTTATGGGGCGCTGACTGGGTGCAGTCACAAGGTGCTTACGACGTTCACTTCTTGCAAAGCATGCTCGGTTGGTCGGTCAGGACTGAACAGAATTGAAAGATAATTAAACAAGCTACTGCACCCTGCTGCTGAGGTGGGGACGAGACGCGGCTCCGGCTCAGTTCGAGTCAGTGGAGCAGACATGTGCAGCATGAACAGCGATGATATTAAATAAATAATCTTATGTAATGTGTATACTCTGCCCGGGCGTTCTGCATTAGCGACAGCGTTTCCTTTCGTCGGTTGGCAGTGGTGCGCTGCCATTCCTCTGCCATTCCATATTCTGTAATGTTTTTAATAGAAATATTTTCTTTTCAGGACCCCAGCAGAATATTTCCATAGTACACGAACTGGTCTGCAGTATCTGCATCGTCTCAATTTACAGTTGTTGCATCGTTTGGTTCTGCAATTGTATCGCTAAAATACCATGGAGAACGGTAAGTGACATGCGATGGACAAAATAATCTTCTAATAGTGTTGATAGACGCCGGCCCTAATCAGTACCAATTAGCGCAAACATCCGTCCCAATGTTGCGCTACATGCATCGTGCGTCTAAACATTTTCACGATTAAGTCATCTTTGATGAAACTAGCGGGTGCCGCTTGAATTTTGTCAAGCCCTGTAGGGTTATTCCAGATCCTGCTCGCCGTACAGGAAAGGAGGAGTTTCGCCATCCTACTACCTCACAAGCTATGAATTGGTTAATTATACAAATTCTGAATTAAAACGCCGTGCGATAGCCTCGTCATATATCTCATTGGGAAGACACCCAGTTACTTTAACCGCGGGCGGCACCTGTGCTCCTTGTTGGCTGGCCACTGACCACTGACCACTGACCACTGACCATTGACCACTGACCAGTGACCAGTGACCCCTGACCACCGACCAGTGACCAGTGACCAGTGACCAGCCCCGTTGATGGCAGGTCAGACTAGCACGGCGTCCGACACTGACTCTACGTCATTTCTTTGAATGACTACATAGATGTGCTGTTCGCAGGCGGAGACAGCACAGCAAAGATGAAGTATTGTTCTCTAGGGAACGTCACGCTGAAAGAAATTGAAGACTTGTTGATAGAAAACTTTGCGAAGGATGAAAATCTGTAAGTGTTACACACTGTTCTTTGCTGCTGTACCTCAACAGTAGGTATGATCTGTAGGATGGAAAGAAAGATGCTTATCTCATTTGATGCTCTTTAGTTTGAAATTGCAGGAAATAGTCAATTCAGTGTGTTACGAGACTTGAAATTGAAAATGTGCCGATGTGAATTATGCGTTGTATGGTGGACAGCCCTATGACATTTCTCGCTGCTGCGTGTTGGCAGTCTGAAGCTGTGTCGGAACTGCGAGGGCGGCCAGCTGGACGACTACCGTCGCCGAGCGAAGGAGATCATCACCTCCCACGACTGGAGAGTCTCGCGACTGGCGGTGGACGCCGCTACAGGCACGGTGGCCGGCGTCTGCCTGTGTGACATGTCCACCCTCGACCAGCCGACCCATGCTCTCGACGCCACGTTGCAAAACAAATCCGAGGCATGCCGCCTCATTGCTGATTTCCTTCTCCAGGCAGAGGAAGGATACGATGTGTTCAAGGATCTCGGAGTCAAGAAGGTGCTCAATCTGAATATCGTGACCGTTGATAAAAGGTGAGTAGTGTGAGGCTGTATTTGAACTTCATTTCTTATCTCATATGCTTTCTTACTAAGGTGTTGAACACTGTCAATTGGTGACGTGCATTTGCTGCATATGACACTAGAATTAACATGTTATGCTTCATTCTTGTGACATGGATTCCTAAGAAATTTTTGTTTTACCCTTTCAGGTATCGCCGTCAGGGCATATCATTTGAACTCAGACGCCAGTGCCTTGAGCTGGGCCGCCAGCATGGCTGCCAAGCTGTTGTCGATGTCGCCACCTCGCCCTACACTCGCAAAGCGCTCGTCAAGCTCGGCTTCGAGCGGGTCAAGTTCCTGCCCTTCACTCAGTCGGTGCTCGCCGGTGTTGAGAAGGTCGACCTGTCGGGCTGTGGACCCGATGATGGAGCCGCTCTGATGGTTCTCCAGCTGTGAGAGTGATCTCAGGGAAGCCTTGGAGGTCCTGAAGGATGATGATGCCTCTTGGGTCTAGCTCATCATAGCAGGCATGTAGTTAGTCATCGAGGAATGTATGTGCTTAATCTTTTGATGTGCGATGTGACGATGTCAGTTGCAACTTGCAGACTGTTAAATTATAGAAGACAGTTTGATGAAAATCAGCAAAACACACGCTACTGTTTCGATTGCTGCATTGTCCTATATCAGTTATCACGGCTTGCAATTTTACATTGAGGACTGAAGTATGAATTTTGCATATGATATTTTACTGCTCGGGTAGATGAGACGAGAGGGCAGGCTGGAGCTGATTTTGACCAAGTGTTAAAAAGTTGACTCATTTCAGCTACAATTAGGACTCAGGCCCTATCACGACACCGGCTGTGCTGTGAACAGCAGTGCAAGAATCGAACTCACTTCAGTCCTTTGAATGGTGCTGGCCAGCAGCTTACCCCGATTAAGTTGGCAGCCCTCATTTGTCATGTCTTGATACGGGTCTGTTATTGACAGTTGCTTTATTAGAAACGGGTAATTCGAAATGCATGAGAAATAATATAAACACAGGGCTGAAAGCATTCATAGGAGGGGTGCTTCAGAGCTAATCGTGTCGAAATCGGGTGACTTTTGACTCAGGGTCTCATGTCACACCTCTTCAATCATTACATGTTATTCAAATGAACAAACTGTCTTATGCGATGTGCGATGTGCGAACATGTATCTCGAAATAAACAATATCAAATGAATACCACCTTCACAAGCAATGAGCGTCTCCGCAATATCGCTTCAGAGTTGACGTGAGGAATGACATTTACCGGTGTGAGTAAATCGTTTAAAATGCTGCCTATGAATCACTTCAGCAACGAAGTTGAGCAACGAACAACAAAGTGTCCACGAAGTTTTATCAGAGCTGTCCGTCAGAATGAACGAATATTACGAATATTATAAGTAATATTATGAACGAATGACTCTAGTAATATTATAGAACCAAAATATGTGTAGGGTAGCCTGGGGCAAGACGCCCCAGATAATTTATTTTGCTACATAACTTTTGTCCCATATCACCTGAAAGGCCAAATTTGTGCTCAATGCGTTCTTTGGACATTTTACTTTAAATTCCACCCCTCAAATTCATTCACTTATGATCGGACTCCCAGCTAGGAACTGATTTGTGAAGCAACTGCAAATAGGGCGTTTTGCCCCAAGCCCAGGGCAAAACGCCCCACGGCCTGGGGCAAGAAGCCCCATACTCTAGATTAAAGATTAAACATGCTAGTTGACTAAATCTCATATGAGAGGTCCGTTAGACCTTGGGAGGCACGGCACTGAAGTTAGCACCTTCCATCCTATCAGGTGTTCAGCTACGACACTATTGTATGAGCAGGTTTTTCACCTGCCTCACAAGGCCAAATAATAAATTATTACAATGCAAATGTTAACAAAATACTTCCTTTGCCATCCAGTTGCTGAGAAAAGTACATATAAATGCATAGAAACATACCGTTCGCCAGCTACCGAACATTAGGAAGTGGGTAGTCCGAACAACACATGAGGTAAAACGCCCCATGGGGCTTTTTGCCCCGCGACCTACTGGGGCGTTTTACCCCATCACGTAGTTCGGTCAGAGAACAACGCCTTGCACTCCAGGAAGACATAATCTAACACGAACCAACCCGGCATGATAAGCGTTAGACAATAGTTGTTCAAAATACATAAAAGTCGTTAACCTGATGTGGACGATAAAAGAACGCCATGATGCATAATCTGACAACAAAACATAAAAATCACTCCCAAAACACATTTTTGGCTATGTCTCCCTAAATAGTCATCACAATTTCTTTCCAGTCTGCTCATATAATGATCGTATAGTGCACGTTTTATAGAAGAGAGGATGTTTCCCCAGAACCTTGCCAGTTCCGAGAAACATCGGTGAGGCGTTTTACCTCGGCGGGGCGACTTGCCCCGGTCTACCCTACTGGCAAACACCTCTGTATACCCTCTGAATATAAAGACCTCGGTATACAGAGGTACATGGTGCCTGTACGTACGGTTGCGTGATTGCGGTTGTAATATATTGGGCTGGATGACATCCCTTCAACCAAGGTCATATCATTTGAGTGCCAGTGGGGAAGCTACAATGCACTAGTGATAACGTCGACGTGGATGGACGAGATGTCGACCTCCCAGTCACCACTCGGCACCTTCCATTCTCCGGCACCTTCCATTCTCCGGCACCTTTCATTCTCCCTGCTATTCCTGTGATCCAACAGCTGCAGTCTGAACCGAAACAGCAGCGGGTTATTTGTTTTAAATGAGCTTGTTTGATCGAGTTATCTATGTATTTTGTGGATGGGTTTGATGCCAACGATAGGAGAAACATGTCTGTTAAGTGCAGGCAGTGGCGCGGGAACCGGGGGGGCTAGCGGGGGCTGAGCCCCTCCAACTTTTCGGCTGGGGGGGGGCTCGTAATGTATTTGACCCCCCCCCCCAGCTGGAGGAATCGAAATCGGAAATCTACCTACATAATTTCATAGATTCATACATAGGCGCGGGAACCGGGGGAGAGGGCAGTGGGGGAAGCTTGCCCCCACAGCTCTGGGGCCGTGGGGGCGGTGCCCCGCAACCTTTCATGAGGTCAGGAACCGTTGGAGCAGCTGTCCTCCCCAAATTAGGGGTTGTGGGTCACAAAGGAAGAAGGCATGTAAGTGAAAAATCCACCTCTTTCACTGGCTCGGCAACTCATTTGACAGATTAAAACCTTTATTCCAGGTTGCCAAAACGGTAGTTTCTTCACTCAGCTGAGACGGAATACCTGACTTTTTTGCAAATATTTTCTCTCTTTTTTTGTTGAAAAGGCCAAGGTCTGAAAAATAAGTGGCCTAAAACCGGTGAGAAAACTAGATTTGGGGGTTGATCTCTATTATGGTTCAGCCCCCCCCCCCCCCTAGTCTGGAAGAAGTTCCCGCGCCACTGAGTGCAGGCATTGAGACAAAAAAAACGTCGTCAGTATCATTAATATACCACCCCTTCATCATAAACCAGAGGAAAAAGGAAGAGCTGCGTGTAAAATAAAGTGAAAAAAATGCTGCAAAAGATTCAACTTCCGTTTGAAACGATTGCCTTATGGTACACGTAACGGATGACGTTGAAGCGAGCAATTGCGGCGCTACTGTTGACACCGACTCGCTGTTGACTCTCAAAACTCGCTAAGACAGACTCGGGCTGATTGTCACTTCCAACGTAGAGCTGTCGGCCATCTGAGACGCATAGACGAATATTTTTTTTTTTTGCAAGCGGTCGAACGGAAGAACAGGCGACGTGACAAGTTAATTGACAACGCACAAACGGATATATTTTTCTAAATATGTTGTTTTCGACTTTCTAGGGATAGTACGGATTGGGCATGTGCACAGCTCTTCAGCTCCGTCGCCACACACCGCATACATGTATAGGTGAAAGCAAAGCTTTGAAAAAGCATTTATTCAACAATCCGAAGTTCAGGCACGTCGTATCAATGGAAGTTGAGCACTCTTGCCATCATAAGCATGGTTTACAAGTTATATCAGGATACAGAATGCAACTGGTGAATAGTGAGATTCAGATAGAAATTCTCTCTCATGCCTTTTGAATGGATGATGATAAGTGTGTGTAAGATGGTCACACCTGGATATAGCATATATCATTGATTCGCTGATACTGGTTTAATAGCAAAGAGGCGCCAACTTGAGTGGAGAGGGAGACGGCAGTCAGGTGCTGCGTTGAAATGAGTTTAACCGGGATGGAATGGGAAAAAGGTTCGCAATTCATAAATAGTTAAATATACCAATCGAATAAAGAAACCAGAAAAATACCTTTATGGTAAGTACACTGTCGCCCACACCCCACAGCCGGCGGCCTTGCCAGCAGACACTCGGCCCATCAGTCCAATTCACTGAGGTTCCATTCATTCACCACTCCTCAGGCCATCAGCAGTCGGGCACCTGTCGCTCCTTGAACAGCCGCTCGAGCCGCTCCTCCAGCGGCCGGTTAGTGCCGCGCAGACCACGCACCACCCGCGCCGCCCACTGGAAGTACTCGGCCACGCGCTGCTCGTCCCAGCCCTCGGGCGTGGTGCGGCACAGGTCACGCAGGTTGTACAGCTTGTCGGCCAGCTTGACCAGCTTGGCCTGGTGGCTGCGCGAGGCGGCGTGCTCCACCTGCAGGCGCTTCCGCTCCGCCTTGGGCAGCGACTTGTCGTCGGTGACCTCAGCGACGATGGATCGGACCTGGAGGCCGGCGGGGAGACAGGTCAGGTGACCATTGACTGTACTCACTCATAATGTCTCTGGAAAAGTAGATTTCAAAAGACAGCGTCTCACCTAAGGAATAGAGAGGTATCCATTCAGGGAGGTCTATGACGGCGTCTACTGGCTAGGATCCCGTCAGCACGACATACTTCCACTTCCTGTCTCACCTTTTCGCCGAAGACGTCTTGGATCTCGTCCAAAGTGGTGTCGGTATCCTCGACGGTGTCATGGAGGATGGCGGCCTGCAGCACGTCGATGTCGGTAACGTCGCCCTCGTCCATCAGAATGTAGGCCACCCCTGCAACAGTCACAGAGCGTCAGTCGGTGGGTTGCCACAGGGAAGCTTTCTCGTCCAGGACCAGGTCAGAGCGTAGGCCACCCCTGCAACAGTTACAGCAGGTCAGTCTGTGGGTCGTCTCAAGGTAGCCTTCCTGGCCACCAGATTGTGCGTATAACATCACCCACTGTTGCACCGGGTACACCACGTCAGTCGAGAAGCTACCTCGGAGTAGTATGAGCCGGTTCTCTGATTGGCTGCCCTTGTACCTTTCTCAGTCGGCTTGAGCTTTAAGTAAAAAGCGTGTGTCAGCTGACTAGGTGCCAGTAGCTGACTCTGTATGGTCTCGGTGTCAGAACTGTGTCAAATCTGTGTCAGTTCGGTGTCCCGCCGGTGTCCTGTTTGACACGGACCGTCGGCTCCGTCTGTCGGCGGAGGACAGCGTCACGGGCCGGCGGAGGACGCGTCACGGGCCGGCGGAGGACGCGTCACGGCCCGGCGGCCGGCCCGCTGCTCGGACGTCTCGACGACTGCGGCCCGCATACGGTCCCGCTCCTTCTGCGCCTCATTGGCCACGGACCGGCACAGGTGTGGGAGTGCGCTCAGTGTCCATCTGTTCGTCCGACCAACCACCCGCCCACCCGACCGACCGTCCGTCCGTCAGACTTGGTGTCGCTCGCGGCCGGAGTCCCGCGCCGATTGTGCGTCGTTTTGCAGCCGACTGTGCGTCGTTCTGCAGCCGACTGTGTGCCGTTCTGCAGCAAACTTTGCGCCGTTCCACAGCCGACTGTGCGCCGTTAAACAGTCGAGTGTGCTTTGTGCGTCGTTCGCACAGTCGACTGTGCGTCGCTGTGCCAACTGTTTGCGGGTGTGCCTCCGGCGGCACCTTGAGCTGGTGTAACTGCTCGCGGTTTCTGCGCAGCTGCCCGGCCTGGCGTCATGACGTCCTGGCGGAGGGCTCTGCAGCTGCTGGTCGCGCTGGCCACGTTGGCGCCCAGCAGCGGCCAGCTACCGTTCCTAGGCCGCTGCCCGGCGCCACCAGCCGTCCACCACTTCAACACATACCACTACCTGGGCAAGTGGTACGAGCACAGCCGCTACTTCAGCCTGGCATCGCTGGCCGGCAAGTGCACCCACTTCATCTACACGGACCAGGGCTACGGCCGGATCGGCGTTGAGAACCAGCAGATCAAGCTACTCACTGGGAAGCTCAACAGCGTGGTGGGCGTGGCGCGCGTGGTGGACCCGCACTACTCGGGCCGACTGCGCGTGGTGGCCACCAACCTGCCCAGCCTGGGCACCGGGCCCAACTACATCGTCGTCGACACCGACTACAGCAGTTATGCGGCCGTCTGGTCCTGCGCCGACTTTAAGCTGTTCAACCTGCAGACGCTGCAGATACTGACCCGGCACCGGCGGCCCGAGCCGCACCTGGTCGCCGACCTGCGCCACCGGCTCCGCTACTACGGTCTCAACACTGAGAAACTGGCCAAAACCAACCAGGAGGACTGTCCCCATGGCTATTAGCCGCGCGCCCTCATACATATACAAGGGCATTGCTGCAGCGCCGCACACTGCACGCTGTGAACGGATAAATGGCGCCCGGAAAGAACGGAGTGCAACGTGCTGTCCTCACCAAGAGCTGCCGTTGCCGACCCTCCTCACAGCACTGAAGTAACTGACTTAAATGGATACTGCCATCTCTGCCAGCCACTCCGGTGCATTGGAATCAGTCGGGAAAACAGTTTTGTCCTATGTTGGTTACGTGGGAAAAGGAAAAAAGACGCTCGGTGTGATGATAGAATCTTTTCAGTCTAAACGTAAGGTCAAATTGAACCGAAAGGCTTCGATCGCTCCATATCGTGCTTATGTGATGTCCACACTGGTATATGTGCCGTAGTGTAGTGTGGGGCCGGGCGACCGAAGTCTCATACCATACAGACCGTACAGAGCGTGTGCAACACAAATTCGTTATCCGGTTGTCGACCCACGTTTCTGGTGCACCACAAACTCTCGACTATAGTCGCCTACATATGATCGCCTACCACATCACCTATCATATACAGGCGATTATAGTCGCCTACTTTCTCACTTTCTCTCTGTCCAGTGTCCACTGAACTTAAGATGAACTCGACGCTGATTTGATGTTCTCGTCACGCATCTGGAAAAATACCATTGGCTTCCAGCCTCTCGCTTCTTGCGATCGCACTTCGGCTTGGCCGTACCGCATCGTATTACCCGGCTGAGAACTGCGTAGGTACTTTTCTTGCATGGTCTCACGCAAGAGTACAAATCGTGAAAACGGGCATGTTCTGTAGAATTACCAGGGTGATGAGCGAGTTCTTGCAGCGATGTGATGCGGTCGACATAATATAAGGTCTGTGTAGAAAAGATGCTTAAACATGTGTGCAGTAAATGGCGACTCTCCGCGCCGCGATTTTTGATATATCTGCGAAAAAACCGCGGGGGGGGGTTCAATGTTCATACACCCCCGGCCCGGTGCGACGTTCAACTAGGTATGTCCCCCACGCTCAAGCTCGATCCGCCAGTGGGCAAGCTCTCGTCTCATCAGATAATTTCTCTTCCTGCCGGTGTGCAGCGTCCGGCAGGCGAACGTCCACGCCGCATAATTACAGAACCATTATCTTATTAGCTGCGGCGCGCCAATTTGGCCAGGCTGATAGGTCACGTGGCCGATTATGTAACCATACCTGCAAGGAACTGGTATCGATCGCTCGTATTTATGGCGTAAATTGTAACTAAGTATAGCAATAAAGGTCGATTTTCCGGAGGTGCTAGTGGCTGCTAGTAGTGATCGGTAAGACGTCGTATCTTTAATTAAATTGAACCGTAACGGCAAGTCTAAAAATGGTTTGCATGCCTATTTCTTTGCATGGCTCTAGTAAGGTCCGAATTGACCAATGACCATGTAGCAATGTGCGCAGCGTAGCGTAGACTCTGCCGACCGTCACGACAGTGGGGAACTGCTGTGGTAGCCCGCTCCGTGGTGTCCAATAGGTACTTGGCTGGTTCGCACAGCCTTGGTCATCCCTGGATCTCAGACGTTGAACATACAGCAACAGATGTGTACAGAGGCACTGTGCAAATAAGAGAAGAAACACTACTAATGAGACTGATTGATAAATTACTAGAAAAGTTATTGGGTGTGTGTAGGGGGGGGGGTAGGAGAGGGGGGAGGAAGGTGTTAGAGGCGGCAAAAACACTGCACAATTGTTAACACGTACAAATGTATCGTGTTTAGGGAAAAGCGTCGATAGCTCTTTTCTGAAAACAAGCGTAGTCGTTGGTCATAACGAAAATGCGTAAAAAATAAACGTAATACAAGCAACTATAAAATCACCATCTCTTTTCTACGCAGGACGAATGACGTCGGGCCAGCCTGTAATAGTGGTATCGACGACCAGTTTCCGGACAATAAGCTGACGTCGTGTCTGCAGTGGGGCCAACTACGTCATTAATCATAGCATTCATCTTTGTCCAAAACCTAAATAACGTCCGCAGATAGGTCGTAGGGGCGACACCATACACGAGCAAAGGTCAGGGAGGTGACGGCATCGCATGAGAAATGGCAATAAATGACGGCACTCTCGCCACGCCACTCTTCACCATCACGCTGATATGACGCCATGTCCGCCGTCCAACAATCCCGCCCTTACTTATCGGTCACGTGACGGCGTCTACCATACACAATCAACCGCAGCACAGTACCACGTGACAGGCCGCGGTGACCTACTCACCGATCGGGTGGTTGATGTAGGGCGTCTTGTCGGGATCCTTCCTCCGCTGGTCCTTGTGTTTGATGGCCGCAAAGTTGGCTGCTCGAAGAAGACATCGCACGGGGTCGGCGTCCATCTCAAACTCTACAATATCCTCGAACACCCAAACACGTGGCTTGCCAGAGCGTTTCACAATCAGCCGACTGAGCGCGTGCGGCAGGCGGCGTCGGTAGAGCCAGACATCGATCCGGCCCTCTCGGCTACCGGGTAGCGTGGAGTATAGTCAGCTGACTGCGGTCCGACTGGCGCCTGCTTCCACTGAGATACGGGGTGCCGGCCGGACCGAATAGGATCGTGGAAGGTCCAGTTTAGTTTACAGGCAGGGCCGAGACGGGCAAACGCTATATAGTCAGGAAAAGTAAATTGAAACAAAACGAGGCGGACATATGTAAGCATGACGTAATGCTTGCCATCGCAGAAATCCTACTGCCTACAGCGAAAATGTGCACGTTTATCGAGTACTGAGTCAGTGACGTATCCAAGGGGGGGGGGGAGCACGGGGGCCATGGCCCCCTCCTGAGCGCCGGCCGCCGAAGGCGCTCAGGGGGCCCCTCAGGCCCCGGTATATTTTTTCAAACACTGGATAAAACGTCTTTTACTAGGAAGAAAAAATGATATCAAAGTTTCATTTATGTGCCCCTGGTTACCCGAGGGGCCCCTGATGACCCAATGGGCCCCTGCAGTCATCCGAGGGCCCCCGGTTTCCTGGGCCCCTGGTAGCCGGGGCCTGGTCGCATGGGGGCCCCTGATTGCCTGGGGTCCCTAGTCTCCTAGGGGGCCCTGTTAGCCGGGGGGCCTAGTCGCATGGGGGCCCCTGGTCGCATGGGCCCCTGATCGCCTGGGGCCCCTAGTCGCCAAGGGGGCCCCTGGTAGCGGGGGCCTGGTCACATGGGGGCCCCTGGTTGCCTGGGACCTCTGAGGGCCCCTGGTCGCCTGGGCGGCCTGGGGGCCCCCGGGTGACCTGAGGGCCCCTTGGGAAGCAGGTGGCCCCCTCCTGGGCGAAATCCTGGGTACGTGCCTGTACTGAGTAGTGACCATTAGACAATGTGGGTGATCGCAACTCTTGGAAGTTAGAGCAGCCGCCACGGGCTATGGAGTCGAAGTCGGGGTCAGTCTGAGTTCTGCCCGGATTCGGAGTCGGAGTCAACATTGCATGGCTCAAAGTCATGCTCTTCAGTCTACACCTGTTTGCTTGAAAATGTTACGTTCGGTAACCTTCTCAAAACATTTTGTTGAAGCATAGACCATGTTCCCGTTTCGGACGACCGCTTTCAGCGAAAAAAAGCGGAAGACGGTGGTTGTGCCAAAACCCATTTCAACTTTTGCAGGCCATTCATAGATGGGTATATGTGCATTGCGCAAGGTATAGAAAAACATCTCCAACATGAACTTTACTTCCATAGTAAAGATCATGTCGGAAGAGAAATAAAAATAGTTGTTCAGAGTCGGAACTGGAGTCGGAGTCGGAGTCAATTTCTGAAGCCGGAGTCGAAGTCGGAATCAAAGTCACCAAAAAATCCATCGACTCCGCAACCCAGGTAGCCCCATACACTGCTGATTGCTGAGCGCTAAAGGCCGGGTAGGCTGCCCGCAATACACCTGTGCTATCCGGTACAGTCTACCCATTCAGGCAAGCGTCGATATGGCACTGGCGCTTTGCCGGGCAATGCTGGATCCAGCCTTAGCTGCAGTTCTAAACTCAAATTGCATCGCATCCACTGGTGATCTAGTCTTATTCCAGTAAGGTTCGTTGAGTGAAGAGACTTGGATCTGTTTAATGCGGTTTTTAAATAGCATGCTATATACAATCTGTTCTAGCAAAGTGTTCCGAAGCAGTAATATGGCGTGCCGAGGCTTGAGTGCAACAAATAATGAAGAAACGACCATGTTGGGTGACACAGATCTTGAGAATGAAAACCAGGCGAAACCTCATTATCAACAGTTGGCACCCTTCAATAAACAATGTACATTTTATGTCATAAAGTAAGTTGCAACATTGCCACCCTCGTTCGTGACCAAATAACGCACGATACGGCTGGAGCGTCAACAGCACCAGGTGGTAGTGATAGGATTCATCGTATCCTCATTACGTCCCCGCAGTCCCCGCCAATACCGGTGGATCGGATCCACGCGCGATCCATCCTCGTTACCGCACGCGTCGCGTGCTGTGCGCGCATCCCCAGCGCGTGGAATCGTCGGTGCCGACGACGGCAGCGACGGCTCGTCTCCGGGCACTGCAGCGCGCCCGAGACCCAGTCGTCCGCGGGCTGTCGACGGGGGTGTGTTGCAGTGGCGGCGAGAGACTGTGAGGTGTATTGTGAGGAAGACGAGTCCGACGGCGCGGGAGAAGAAGTGTGAACAGCTTTGGGCCGAGTCCTCACCCTCCCAGTCAGCCAGCGGAGGGTACAGACCGGCTGTGAGGAACACTCAGAGAGATTGGTGCGATGAACACCATGGATCGCGGCGACTGTCTGTTCAGCGCCGTGGTGGTGCTGCCGCTGTTCCTCTCTCACGTGGCACTCCGAGCGCGCGGCGACGACCGACCCGAACACTCCGGCTCGCAGTCGTATAACGGTAAGGGTGGCCACGGCTGGGGAATGGCCCGCCAACGGTCCGGGAAGCCATCAGCCGCTCCCAGCAGAGCAATTGGGCCCTCATCGATTTCCACTTTATCTCATCCCTCTTTCCCAGTGTCACACACACACAGGCATCCGCAGACAGACACACAACAGAATGCGCACATAAACTACCTCACCTCTCTCTCTCTTTCCCGCTCTCCCTCCCTCTCTCTTTCTTTCTTTCTTTCTTTCTTTCTTTCTTTCTCTCTCTCTCTCTCTCTCCCTCCCTTCCTCCCTCTCCCTCTCTCTGTCTCTCTCTCTTTCTCCCTCCCCTCTCCCTGTCCCTAGAAAACTGTCCCTAACTGATGCCAGTTTTGTGGGGCTGTGGCAGATATAAATGCTTTTCAATATCCTCTGAGGTCCTCGAATTGACATCACTAAACATTTTTTTCTCTGTTTTATATACGTTTAATATCCTCATAACGAAAACCATAGCAAGAGTTTTCCTCTCCAACTTTATTTCGTCGGAATCGATTGTTAATCATGCCTTCTACCGACATCCCCATAGTGCTTATTTATGTCACTCTGAAATGCACTCAGTCTATACATTTTGTGGAAGATCACCCGCGCATTACGTGCACTGCACGCTAGCCTCACGTGGAAAAACCATACTGCGACTCCCCTGGTCGATACCGTCCCACGACTTGATCGGTCATTATCACCGCCCCTAATGCACGGAACACGAGCTCGTACCTCAAATAAGGCCGACTTCAGGTGGTCTTGCGTGCGTCCGACGCTAATTTATTACGTGGGAGTGGAGCCGCGGGGCCGGCCCGGTAGCGAGGCAACAGGCGTCACATCAACAATTGATCGAGTGGCGGCGGCGGCGGCGTCTCACCGGCTACCTGTGTTTGTCCTGTGTTTTACAAACACCGGCCTCCTGTGTTTGTCGGGGTAATGAAGGTGTCTAGACCCAGCCGTGCCTCCCAATAGAGTACATTGTGGCGTCAGCGAAGGACACTTCGCGTGTGTGTGTATGACAGTCAATGAAATGTGTAGACAGTCAATGAAATTGTGGCTTGGCTATTTTGTTTTCAATGTGTGGAGTTGCAGTCGATAGAGTACACACGAAAATGATGTCCGACGTTGGCAGCGTAGTGAACATGATTGAGTGGTTGATCATTTGGACTTGCTCAGCCAACACTCGCAATAAAAAACTGAATGATAGGAAAGCGTCACATTTGATGGGGTGTTGTATTGATCGCATGCTCATTGCACTTAAGTAAAATTAGTTTATTAAATTGTGACAGAAAGCATGAACTTATTCGCCCATTTGTAGTGAGAAGTGACTAGTGAGAACGAATGCACTGTTGTGAGCCTGTGTGCATCTTCATGTGGTGCTTCAACATGCGTTACGTCAAGCAAAAATAATTTGAATATCATCACGACATTTATACTCATCACTCCACCCCGCCAACCGTTCCGCTTCCGTGGCACGTTCTTGCAGACTGTGAATCTCCGCCAAATCCGGGTAAAGGTCGTCCAAACTTGTCTGGACGGGGATTCAGCCGTGACATGGTGGGCGTATCGGGACCCGACGTGGGCGCTGGAGTCTGCTGTGATCTCTCCATCTCAGCTGGAGGCGATAGGCGCGGATCACTGAGCTAGGGTAGCAGTGATCGCTTCAAGCAAATTATCATACAATAAGGAACTTTACAAATTACAATAGTGCAATTGGCAGGCCGTTATCTCGAATATAATTGTCTGTGGTTTCAATTTTTCAACCCAGAATTAGGATTCTGTCCGATAAAGGTTCTGTTTTTTTTTCTTTATCTACCTTTTGATTTGAAAATAACGCCTTCTGCTTTGCATTGTCAGAAAATTCAGTCAGGTGATTTTCTTTTGTCGCGATAGCTTATGTTGATCCAGATAGGCGTGCTGCCTGCGGTGGGGCAATGAGTAATGATCATGCTCCACAAAACATTCTTCGGATTCCTAAATATCTTCGAAATTCGTTCCCATATACGATGCTCCGCGATTCGATTTAGATTATATGAAAGCACCCAGAACACTTTCTATAACCAAAAAATGACAAAAAAAAAAACAAAGAAGAAAGCAGTGGTTTCCTACTAGAGATGCCCTTTTTGAACCCGCGAACCCGCTTTCTGCGGGTTTTCAAAACCCGCAGGGTTTTTGGCGGGTTCGAGAAGCAAAACTTGTCGTGTGGCGGGTATTTGGTGGTCAGACTTAAGAACCTATAAATTTTTTTTATTTTTTTTAGATGCAAAACACAATGCCAAGTGCATTTGCTCAGGTTAACAATACAATATTCATCAAAACAACTTTTAAAACAGAACCAAATATAAAAATATATCAAGGAAGCACATTTCAAATGCAAAACTGAAAACAACCAGCAATAGCATCCACAGTCTAGCAATGACCAAACCAGGGTACAAGCAATAAACTACTAAGCATAAATAAATGCTGATGAAAGCATTCCATAAAACATAAAAGACCCTGAAAGCAAACTTATAGGAAGCTGAACTGAAGTCTATGTGCACTGTGCAGTGTGCACTAACTAGACATTATGGAAGAACCCAGACTTAAATGAGATGTTGAAAATCAGAGCAAATGCCACATGT